ATGTCGACCTACAATCCGAACATCGTGCCTCCCGCCCACGCTCCCATGCCTCTGAACGGAAACAATCTAGTGAATGGTGTGCAAGGAACCGCCCAGCAGCAGCCAGGCCCTCCACCTGGTCAGCAGTATATACTACAGAAGCAGCCACAACAGTTTCAGCAACCACCTCCTGCAGCAGCTTTTCCGGGAGCAGGAGCGCCAGGTAATCTGCCACCGCCGCAGCAGTTTAACAGTGGTATTGGGAACCAGTTCTTGCCACCAACTTCTGGAGCAGCTACACCTCTGCAGCAACTGCAGCCCAGCACGTTGCCGCCCCATCTGCGTCCGCCCACCGCCAACGGACCACCCCTTACTAACGGCAGCAATGGCGCGTCCAGTGCCAACTCCTCGCGCACTGCCTCTCCAAGGCCAGTGGGAGCTGCCCCTCAATACGCTCAAGGACCAATCGCCGCCGCGCTGAACAATCCGCCCCTGGCGTCAGGACTACGTCCATCGCCCCAACCGACGAACCAATCCCTGGCTAACTTGACGAGCAGTCTGGGAAATCTTAACATGAACACCACCCGAACAAATGGAGGTACCAGCGTTATGCCACAGCCACAGCCACAGCCCCCGCAACAGTACCCACCTCTAACACAAAAGGATAGTCGGGGAGTGGCCTCGGCCCAGACGGGACCACCGCAGTTCAACGACGCCAACAGTCTGTTGGCGTCCAGCGGAGTGGCAGCTCCAGTAGTTCCCAATGCCATGCCGACGCCGTTTAGTGGGCAAAAGCCCCCAAATTTGGCTCCAAATCCTTCCAAAATGTTCGGAAGTGCATCGGTTCCCGGTAGACCAACGCAAACACCAGCGGCCCAACGAATTCAATACGGAGTACCGCCTTCGACTAACCCCGAGCAGCAGAGCCAGCAAAACAACAATCTGCAGAAAGCACCGCCGCCACCAAGAGTAGGAGCGGTGTGGCCACCGAGCTTAGCAAATGCAGCGGCGCCGGGAGCCCAACCCATGATGCCTCCACCCCAGCAGCCCCCACAGTCGTATCCATACTCGCAGGCTTATCCATCAGCACCACAGCAGCAACCACCACCTCCACAGTCTGCATTGCAGGCACCGCCGCCGGGAATGTTTGGAGCTCAACCCACTGGAGCTCCACTGCAGTATCAGGCCCAGGCGCCTCCTCAGGCTTACGGACAACAACCACAGCACCTACCCCAGACTGCACCCGGGGGACCTTATGGAACCACTGCTCCACTAAACGTGGCTCAGCAGGGATTCAGCAGATTGTGGGGACAGGATACCATCGACCTGATGCAGAACCGTCATATCTTATCGCCGGCAACGCTGCCTCCGCCAAAAGTGGTTTTGCACAACCAGTTTCATGAGTCCATAAACTGTAGCCCGAGCATTATGCGCTGTACGCTGACGAAGATCCCCGAGAGCAATTCTCTGCTGCAGAAGTCACGCCTGCCCCTGGGCATTGTGATACATCCCTTCCGAGATGTCAATGTAAGAAATTTATTAAAAATAATTTGATCTCAAAGACTAACTTGGAACTCCTCCCACAGAGCCTCCCTGTAATTCAGTGCATCAACATTGTGCGTTGCCGGCTGTGCCGCACATACATAAATCCCTTTGTTTACTTCGTGGACAGCAAGATGTGGAAGTGCAATCTGTGCTATCGGGTCAACGAATGTAATTGAAAAGAAATCCCGGCATATAATGGATTTAGTAATCAAAAGTTATTTTCCTCATGCAGTGCCAGATGACTTTCAATTCGATCCGGCCACTAAGACATACGGCGACGTAACCCGAAGGCCCGAGGTACGCTCTAGCACCATAGAGTTTATTGCTCCTTCGGAGTACATGTTGCGACCGCCACAGCCGGCCATGTACCTGTTTCTTTTCGATGTCTCGATAATCGCGCAGCAGAGTGGCTATCTGGAGGCCGCTTGTGCCGTACTCAATCGGCACTTGGACGAGATGCCCGGAGACGCGAGGACACAGGTGGGATTCATCTGCTTCGACAGCTTCGTGCACTTCTACAGCATGGCCGAGGGGCTCAACCAGCCGCATGAAATGACGCTGCTGGACATCGAGGACCCCTTCCTGCCACGTCCTGACAATTTGCTGGTAAACCTGAAGGAGTGCAAGGAGCTGGTACGTGATCTGTTAAAGCAGCTGCCTAAGCGTTTTGCCCACACCCACGATCCGTGCTCCGCCTTGGGTGCTGCTCTGCAGGTGGCTTTCAAGCTAATGGTGAGTTGAGCTATTCTAAATTAAAGAGGAATCTGAATCATCGTGAATGGTACTGCTTACAGCAAGCATCTGGCGGGCGGATAACCGTCTTTCAATCGTGCCTTCCCAACAAGGGACCCGGAGCCTTGGAGCCGCGCGAAGATCCCAACAACCGATCGGCAAAGGATGTGGCCCACCTTAATCCGGCAACCGACTTTTATAAGCGTTTTGCCCTGGAGTGCTCCGGCTATCAGATAGCCTGTGACCTCTTCCTGATGAACCAGCAGTACAGCGACATGGCAACCATCTGTAAGTGATCTATAATAATGTAAAATCAAGCATACTTTTTGCATTAAGTTCTTTGAGTCCTCTTAATAGAGCACCGTAAACTTATTTGTGTTTCATTTCCCCTATAGCTGGCATTAGCAAACACAGCGGCGGCTGTGTCCACCACTTCCCGCTCTACCAGAAGACCAAGCCACACATGGTAGAATCGTTCCGGTCGTGTTTCAAACGATATCTGACCAGAAAAATCGGATTTGAGGCTGTAATGCGAATCCGCTGCACTCGTGGCCTGCAGGTGCATACATTCCATGGAAACTTCTTTGTGCGGTCCACGGATCTGCTCTCGCTGCCAAACGTGAATCCGGACGCGGGATATGGCATGCAGATCTCCTACGACGAGACCCTCACGGACGCGAAAACGATTTGCTTCCAAGCTGCGCTGCTCTATACGAACAGCGAAGGAGAGCGACGAATCCGGGTGCACACTGTGTGTCTGCCGGTGACCGCTTCGCTTCCAGAGGTAATGCACTCAGCAGACACGGAAGCTATCATCGGACTGTTGTCCAAAATGGCCGTTGACCGGTCGGTCGCCTCCAACTTGTCGGACGCCCGCGACGCATTCATCAACGCTACGGTCGACGTGTACAATGCGTTTAAGATAGCACAAAATCTGCCGTCGGGACAGTCGGGTCAGTTGATAGCACCGCGCAGCCTGGCGTTGCTCCCGCTTTACATCTTGGCCCTGCTTAAGCACGTGAGTTTTTTAAAAAGGTTTAGTTAACCCAGCTAAACTCGCTTGTCCACTAGCCCGCCTTCCGTGTGGGAACTAGCACACGACTGGATGATCGGGTCTATGCTATGGATTGCATGAAGACGCTACCGCTGGACCAACTAATGAAGTACGTGTACCCGGAGTTGTACAAGATCGATGCCTTGATCTACCACGCCCGAAACTCAAACATTAGTTCGAACCAGGAAGACGACGAGGACGAGGACGAACCGTTGCCGGAGCTGCCGCGTCTGCAATTGTCCGCGGAACAGTGAGTAGTGCTTAATTATGTTGTACTTTTGATAACGAATGCTTTTAATACAGCTTGGACTCGAGGTCAATTTTCCTGATGGATTGCGGCACGCTGATAATGATCTATGTCGGCCTAAATGTGCCCCCCGATGTTTTGGAAGCTCTGCTGGGTAAGCTGGGTATCTTAAAATCCAAGAAATTTGTGTTACTTACCTGTTTCTAATTTCAGGCATCAGCTCCACTGCAGGGCTGGGTGACTATGTATATGGATTGCCAAATGTTGTAAGCAACGAGAACGATGTGCTGAATCGCTTTATTTCGCGACTCAATTACGATAAGCCCTACTCGGCGCTGGTGCAGATAATTAGGTAAGTCGGACCATTATAAAAACTGTGTTAATACCCGCTAATCATTTTAACTTAAATTATAGGGACACGAGCACGGCCAAGGGCCAGTTCATTGAGAGATTAACCGACGATCGCAGTGAATCTAGTTTGTCATACTATGAATTCTTGCAACACATTCGGGCTCAGGTTAAATAGTACATAAGCAAGATATCCTACCACTATTGTATGCAACATAAATACGAGTTTCTTAGAACATAAAAACTCTGGTGACTAGAAGCACGTAAATGCAGGTAAAACTGGCGCGGAACAATGGAGACCAGTACGGGACAGACTTGATTCACATTAACCCATCCCCTACCCACTCTCTCGGCTTAGGTAATTTTAAAGTGCATGTATTTATTTATTTGTTGATTTGTTGCACTAAAAATAAAATTAAATCAATTAAAGATCATAGTAAATGCGAGAGAGCCAACTTGTCACAACAAAAACTAAGATATCGTTGCCAGTTTGATTAGGGCAAACATTAGTCAAAAGTTCAGCTAACCAGTCAGTAGAGTTCGCTCTCAAGGAAGATGATGGCTCTGTTATTTATTATAGAAACTTTATGCAATAAACAAACGAAACTGTTGTAAATTTTGCTTTAGCGCGATTTTTTTTCGTTCCAACTGCTTCAAACATTCTGCAAACTCTCAGACCCACAAATTGTTATTGCTTACCCCATTTGTTTGCTGTTTTCAGTAGTATTTATTTTCCGGAATCCAGAGAACCCTATATTTATTTATAAGTGTAAGGAAATGCGCTTTGTTGCACTGTAGTTAGCGAACTTATTTCAAACGAATGTACGGAAATAGATCTGGTATTGTGTATTGCATTCATTGGACTGCTAGGCAGTGAATGTCTTAAGCTTAGAAGGTATATTACACTGTATCTATAAAGAGACCCCAACCCTGTATCTCAGGTGGCGCAGTTGTCGTTCTTTGAGTGGGCTTAATAATCGAAAAACCATATACAAATACTGTACCATACTTTATACACATACGAGTACATCAAGATATAAAGCGAAATAAATTTTAATTAAATCATAAAGCGATGGGTTTTATTTTCAAGTATGCAGGCACATCTGTTGTTTTACTTCCTCTAATTTAATTGAGAATCATGTATGATGTCTAGATGATGGCAGATAGAAAAAAATCGGTAAGCTGCATTCACAGCTCTTGCCAAGTAACGTCAGTTGTATATTGCACCAAGTTCCTTTACATGAAGGAGTTGTCAGCACCTAGCCAGAGATTTCTGCAATATATCAACTTTAATAATAGACAAATATTATTTGGGAATCCGGACTTACGGATTAAAGAAGGGGGAGCGTGGCGGATACTTCCTTTTCGGTGGAGGGCACAAGATGGGATCCAGTTTATCATCGTTTGTGGAGTCGAGACTTCTGGGAGTGTGGTGCTGCCAATCTAATGACTTCTCATCTGGTTGGTAGCCATCGGTCGCATGCTCAATCTTGACGTGCACCTTGAGATGATCCTGGAGAAGGAACACCTTGTCGCAGAGCTGGCAGGGAAAGTGTCCCTCTGTGTTGGCCACATGGGCTTCATGGAATCTTTTGTAGTGCTGGTGCAGCTCCAGCGAGGATCGCATCGCGCGCCCGCATAGATCGCATGTTTGACCAGTGTTCTCCGGCTGCGGAAAGTGTATGGGCAAGTGTTCGTCCAGCTTCTCAATGGCATCAAAAGTTTGCTCGCACAGCAGACAGGAAAGTTGCACTTCAGGCAACGCCGTTTCCATTATGTTCAATATCAATATCACAATGCCACCTGATTTATTTTTATATTAACTTAGGAATATTTCGTCGTAGACGAAATTAATCACTGATATGTATATTTTCAATTCATCAATTTGTGAAGTGCAACGTTACTACTCGCATTCTGGTATTCTTCCTTGTTCCGTTATCTACCACGTCTTCCCTTTCACGAAATGTGCAGCCTTTTCTATGCGCGCTCAAACAAGCCTTCCCCCTACGGTTACAAGAAATGAACTGTTCCTTTCATTCTTCTCACACTTATTCTCATTATCAACAGAGAAAAGCGAGAGATAGAGAGCGAAAAAAGGAGAGAATTAAAACGAATTATTGTGAAAACGGGAGAGAGCGGAATGTCAGATCAGTGTTACACGTTTAGCCTTTTTTAGCTATAATATAAATTAACTATTGTGAGGTGTGAGAGTTACGGCACAAAATGTTTAGCGCTGAATCGAAAAGTTCTCGAAGAAAGGGGGCAATCTAAAACAACAACACACTTTTTTTTTATATAAAATGAGTCTGACTCAGGTAGTTAGCACAAGTTTCTCTCATTGTTACTTACGCACCATTATGTATGTGAATTAGGATTATTTCTAGCGAAACAAAAAATAATATGCGATCGTATTTGAATTAGTCACGCACGTGCAATATCAGTCGCAAAAAAAAGGAATTTGAAACCGCCCTCCCAAGCTAAAAGGAAAACGAAAAATATTTTTAAGTAGTATGTGTACATATATGTACGCTCATGTATGTATGTACATATGTAGTTCTTTAATTTCTTAGGATAGGCTTGCAATCGTCTTTTAAGAAAAGTAGAACCTCTCAGCTAATATTATACGCAAATATAAAGGTTTTTAAGCTACATATACATAGTTTAATATGTGTATTATGTTTTTACGTTAGAGTGGAATGATACTCATTTAAACTAAACCACCAGACGAACATAAATGCTAGCTAGCAAGTAACAAACGAAATTTTTGAAGGTTCTAAGCTCAGTTTTCTGATAACGTTAGCGTTGCTCAGCCGAAAGAAACCGAAAATAACAAGCCTACTAAAGCTTATGTTCCCTTATTATTTAAATTATATATTTTTATTTTAAGTGTTTTAAAAAATTGTATTTGATTAATATGTTTTTAATTTTAAAACACAAATGTGCTTAGCCAGCGGATTATGACTGTTATAAAATATTTAAAGCAATAATACAATGACTTTTGTACTACAACTATTATAAAAATATTACATTTTTTCTGTTTATAATTTTAATGATACATACATACATACATACGTATGTATGTTATGAACTAAGGCCTAATAAATGCAGCATACGGAAAATAAAAGAAAAAATAAGGATAGTAATCACTATGCCATTTAGGAATGATGAATACATGCCAATTCTTAATTATTATTTATGAAGGCTAGTTTAAGATCCAGCTTTGGCTACTAGGATCTCTGACCTGCTGCGATGCAAAAAACATGTGTATGTCACATGTATGTGCTCTTAAAGGGACTATCAGTAAAATATCAACGGTTTTTTTCCACTTTAAGTATTCTGTGTAACTCGAGAACACCCGCGACAATGTGCGATCATTTTGAAAGGACACTAAGGGTAAAAAAATCACCCTAATTTTTGTTTTGCTTATGCGTTTCTTTATTACCATTCTGTATACAACAACGTACAGCATAACAGGCATAATTTGAGCGCCCGATTGTTAAAATTCATTTCTTGCTCAGCGTTTTTATTTTGTTTATTATGACAAAAAGTTTACGGATGTGCCTTTGGGGATTTCGACGTCGAGATCCAAAGTGCTGAGGTCACAGAATAGATCGCTTGCGAGAGCGATTTGTATCCATGATTTTCAATACATATGTACGTACATTGTACATACTCAAAAGCTCCATGAAACGAAGTGATATTTTTCAGTTCATATAACAAAACTAATGCAGTCGGTCGTTCAGCTTGGCTGACACAGCCGCTTTAGGACGACATTGGCTATCATATAAGCTCGACTTTTTGATACTCCAAGTAGCATAAAATCCAGCCAAGTTCTCTCTATGAGTATGCATCGCAGTCCAGCCATAGATCCCTAGAAACAGTCGAGAATTCAGAGGGAATGTATAACAATTATTATAACTATCTGAACATACGGATTGAAGAAGGGCGAACGGAGTGGATACGTCCGCTTAGACGTGATCGTATGACCCGATTCCAACTGCTCGGTTTGCTGACGTGGCGCAACCAGATACTTGTCCGCCCGCTCGCTGGCCGGTTGATATCTGGCTGCCGCCACAGCGTTGAATATTCTTGTGCTCCATATCTCCTTTTTCGGTGTCTCGTCCGCCGACGACTTTGGGGGGACAGGAGCCTCCGGGGACGCAGGCGAATCTACAGATATTGGAGACTCGGGATCGGCAGCAGTCCTCCCAAGGCAAATAATCCCGTGTTTGACTTTCATGTGCATCAGAAGGAAGGTCCTCCGCTTGTAGCGTTTCTTGCATGTGGAGCACTTGTGCTGCTTCGACATATCCTTCTCTATCCGATTCGCAGCCGGCTCTGCCTCACCATGGAAGTGGCTCTCGTGGTATCTTAGCGACTGGCGGGTGCTCAATTTTTTCCCACACCAAGCGCACACGAACTGACCTCGATTGAAAGCCGGGGGTCTTGCATTTGGGGGTTTGGTCAGCACCGACGATCTGGACATCAATGCACCCGCATCCAGTGTCGGATCTGGTGCCTGAGATGGGGGATTTACCAAGACCGTTGGTTCCTCCACCGATCTGCACATTGTTTCCGGCGCACAAAAGTTTTCCACTTCTAGCGGAGCATGTGCTTTGCCTGGAATGTCGCTGATCATTGGTTGAGCAGGAAACATCAGAGGAGAGTGCGGTGACATTGGAAGTTTTTCGGACAGTTCGACTGGCCGATATCCTGAAAACTGCAATGGTGGCTCATAATTTGTGTGTTGAACGGTTAAGTGCATGGGAGGTGGCTGAATCGGATGCTTATGAACCACTGGCATTTGAAACGGCATGTGTGGTTCCAGAGGCGGTGAGTAAGGATTGCAATAGTGATGGTAATCCATGGCCCCTTGATCGATGGAATGGAAATGGAGCTTATCTATGGGATGCACGAACCGCTGATTCATGGGCGGAACCACGGCTTTCATCATCGGTGGACGTTCCTCCTCCTGCGAACGCGTTGTATTCTGGGCATGGATATCCGCCGCATGTTGGGTGAGGTGCACCTTGAAGGCTTCAATGTCATTGAAGGGCTGTTTGCACAGGTAGCAGGGCACACAGAGTACGGTTCCGTCGGGTAGATTTGTATGTTCATTGCGAGCCAGAAGCTCCTTGACCAGCGGCATTTCCATGGCATCAGTGGGTGAAAAAGGTGGCGAGAGTATGTCGGACGTAATTTGCGGGTACATCCTGGCGGGATGCCCGAAGGATTGCGGCTGGCGATGGTGATGATGATGGTCCATGGGCTCCGTCTCTATGAGCACTCTTCGACTGGTGGTGACTAGGGAAGCAGCCATGCTTCCTTACAGTTACACTCGATCTACATTTGTACATGTATGTATGTATGTACGTGTGACACACAAGGCTACAACGTCCAGTGCACAACTGCGCAGCTCAACGTCTCGCTGCGGACTGAAACAAGAAAAGGCGATCGCATTATATTTATGCGATCTCAGCTGCCTTATCGGTTGCTTAGGAGTGTATGTATAAGAATCTGAATAACAGATCGTCTTACACGAGATAAGCGCAAACAAATAGGCGTTTTTTTTTTTGCATAATCTTTTGCTTATCATTCACAGTCCATTCAATCGTTTTAAATAATTTAGAATAAGTTACTGATAAGACCTTATACTGATAAGAGTATTTTACTAATAAGATTTTAATATTTGCTAAAGTGTATTGCATGTGTAGAGGGAGCAATATCATTAGTGTTAAACGATTTATGAGGCCTATTATGAGGCCTTATGGGAAAGCAGGTATAAAAGGACAGCAATAGGTAGGAAAACAATTTATTTTTGCATATGTAAAATGTATGTTTTAACGTAATAAATTACATTAAGATATGGAAAAAGGATCTGTAGGAAAGGTATAACTCAAGTTACTCGTTGAGTGAAGACCTAAAAGGGCGAACAAATAAATATAAATAGTTGTCACGCGGGAGTGCATACATACAATATATGTATACATATGTATGTACCTAGTTTGTATGAAGATCGTTTTAGTCCATGTGGTCCATATGGGACCGAAAACAAACACGCATGAACGTGCTCAAACTGTACTGTACCTACCCGTTTATTCCAAACAAATGTTATTTTACTGTTTCAGTTCCCCGTTTCACGGTCTTCCAGCTTGGAAAACTACTGTCCTGTAGAAGACACAATTATCAGTAATAATCTCCGGATTTCCTTTAAAGATTTATTGATAAGTTTTTAGAGGCTGAATAAGGCTTAATGAAAAACATGAACGGTAATTTATATTGTATTACAAAATAAAAAACTAATGAAGATATGAAACAAAGTAAAAGGCAATGACAAAACACTTCGAAAAAAAAACAAATTTAAAAGCTGATCACATGTATTCAAGATGGTTTTAATTTCCGATACTGCTCCGTTCACTTCCCACCATAAAATCTCAATTTGCTTAATATTGGGTGACTGTGCGAACTACTCCATAACATTTTTCAAAACGTTGATGTAGAGTATTAGGTGTTTTTAGTTGTTCAACTTTAAAAAATTACCCTCTTATGAAACGCAAGGCACTTTATTTCAAATAAAATTCTTATCAGTTGAATTTATAAATAGAGATTTCCTAATTATCGACAATAGGATGTTATAGGATGTCAATGTCAAGCCGAACTTTACTTTCCACTGAAATTTAAAAGTAAGGTTCTAAAAGCTTTTCGTGCTCATCATTTCTTTATATAAATAATAGTACGACCCGATCTATGTTAATGCTATGAGGCATAGAACATTTTCATACGCTTTTAAATAGGTTCAAGATGTCCTTGACGATTTAAACGGCCAAAACGAATAATTTTAAATTCGAATAAAATGCTTATTTCTATCTCTCTGAGTGTAAAAATATCATAATTTTTGCCTGCCTTCTTTGAACCTTCTTATCAACGTCAATAAGGTTCATTTCGTGAAGTCAATTAGACGTCATAAAAATCTGTTCAAAATTATTGTATATTCTTTTATTACCAAATTAGTTACTGTGCAGATCTTTCACGCAATTGCTAATATATCTGCATATGTTTTTCTCGATTTTTAAACTTTTTGAAATAGGCACAGGTGTCACTGGAAGCTCCATTTTTGATTTCAACGGCTAGATCCACTTCGCCAATAAATCTGATCCTTTATAGGTTCGATAACGCATCCTTTTAATTGTTAGATACTCTACGAGTAATGAGTACTGTCAATCACGTACCTTCAAGAAAAGTAGATACATGAAATGTATATGTTCTATTTAATATTGTTATTTCGACATTGTGCAGGAACACATGTGTGGTAGTGTGGGAAGTGTTTTCAGCTTGAAATCCCAAGCATTAAGATAAATAACGTTTCTTCTTGAAGGAAATCAACTTTGTTAATGACAGCAGCCACTTATAAAACGCGAAGATTACTAATAGCTAATCTCTTCTTAGGATTAATTAATTATAAGCACTGTTTATCAGTCACTGAAGACCAAGTCCTATTAAAGTTTGGGGAATCCAAATAGTGGTGGATCAACAACTATTTCAATTTTGAATTCAGAGAGAACAGAGATCATCTTTTTTTATTCGGCTGAATAGTATGCAAAGAAAAAATTTGTTTCTGGCCCTCTATAGTAAAAATTTGAATAGACTGAGTGTATTAGCTCCTAATTGTCTTTAGGTTTTTTAATATCCTTTTAAAAAATTATTATTGGGCCGTTAATTCAGCTTTTATTTTCCTTTTATATAACTTAAAAACTGATTCCAATTGATGCCAAATAATCATCTCGTTTCATAGCGTATTTGATGGCGTTATTTTTAAATATATTCTGCGCTCTGAAGTGGGCGGGACTTAAGCATGTCGAAAGACATGAAAGATTGAGCTTATAACCAATCCGATTTCGGCGATCTTCGAAACTAGCATTTATTGAGATAAGGAAATCCATTCTACACCCAAACCTGAAATATTTAGTTCCTTTGATTTCAGCTGCGAAATTTACTACGAGTTTAACAAATCGGTATAAAAAGTATTATTTATATGTAGCTCAATTTCTAAATGAAATGTACAAGTACTATCCTGGTATAACAGCTAAAATCCGACATCACAGTCTTAGCGTCCCGGCGATGAAAGGATAAATGTGAAGTGGGTGTGTTTTTACTTTAAATAGTTATTTCTAGCTTATATTCGGCGAATAAAGCACTTTGAAGGCATCAGTTAAGGAACGTGTTCAAGCTTTGCAAGCTTGTTTATTCGTTGTATAGAACGCTACAATTTGAAGTGACTAGCTAGTAATGTGACATTGATTTTTCGGATACATTTAGTACAATCGCTTGTAGGTCAACGGCAACTAACTAAACTAAACCTATTCCTTAGAGACGGGTTTGCAGGCGATCATGTATACTGGAAAAAGTCCCTTGGGAAAGTTTTGTTGCTTGACCTTGCGCACAATGCGAAATCCAGCCTCCTTTAGAAAGTGCTCATAACTGTCAAGGGGCCTGGTAACGGAGGAGTCCTCCTTGTCCTCCACCGTCTTTTTGGAGCTGCTCACGTTCTCCTTCATACAAAAGAAGGCTCCGGGCGCCAGTCCCTGCTTGATCCGACGAAAGAACGAGACCAGATCGCGATCCGTGAGATGGCCTAGCACCCATTGGCTCCAAACGAGGTCGTACTGCTGCGAAGGCGTGAACTTTTGCAATCCGACGTTGTAGATCTGGCCCACCTTTCCACGGCTCACTTCTTCCGAGGTGCAGTACTCCCGTGCTTTCTCGGCAAAGGCGGCATCCTGCTCGACGAGATCTACGCAGCTGAAGCGGGGTATCAGGAGATTGCGAGTCACCCGACCGATGCCAGCTCCGCAGTCGAGGGCCAACCTGTTGCCCGGCACGCGGATCTCGCGCAGGAACACATTCGATCCCTGTATATCGATGGCGCTGATGTAGCCCAGGCCGCCGAGCATCCCGTTGACAGTGGCCGGAATCTCCGACCAGTACTTCTGGGCCTTATTGTAAAATTCGGGCTCCGGTGCGTCAGTTTTGGTCGTACTATCGCTGGAAGAAGTGGACGCTGTCTTAATATCGGAACTGGCGGCTATACTGCTTTCTTCCTTCTGCTCCGCCGGCTCTTGGACGTTATCTGTGATCTCGTCCATCATCTGTAGCTTGTCTGAAAGCTGGGCTTCTAATGTAGTCGGCATTTTCGTCAGGATTTTGAAGGCCGCATGCTTTGTTTTGTTTTTTAGTGAGATAACCAGGGCTCCGAATCACAGCCGCCCATTAGGCTTTACGAAAGAGTGGCAACCCTCCACAAATCAGCTGCTTTCAGCTAGCAACAAACGTATCGTTTTGTTTATGTTACTAATATTTTTGTTTAATTTTAACATTGCTCGGACAAAATGACTCTTGATTTGGATGCGAATAAGAAAGATGACAAGTTGCTGCTCACCACCATACAGCAGGAGTATAAAATTCTGGCCGAATAGTGAGTTTTCAGCATACGTAGTCAACTAGTTTGAAACTAAACTTTTAATTTTTTATGTTTTAGCAAAATGATTGAGTCTGAGAAGTTGAGTGGCATATATGTGATACCCAGCTATGCTAACTCCCTGCGTTAGTCTACCTACATACATACATACGTCCTGTATGCACTCTAGCTAATTTTATGTGTTTTTATAGAGTGGTTCGGTGTCTTCTTTGGGCGACAGGGCTTCTATACGGAAAGTGTTTTTCGGTTCACCATTTTGCTCCCAGATCGTTTTCCCGACGACAAAAGCCTTCCGGTGAGTGCGATCGACAATAGAGAAAATGGATATAACTCTACAAGTCTCTCTTAGACCATAATATTCCAGCAGGATGTGATTCATCCCCATGTGTGCCCGTACACCCATGGCTTGGATGTGAGTCACGCCTTTCCAGAGTGGCGCTGTGGAGAGGACCATCTTTGGCAGCTTTTAAAGTACCTGCAAACCATTTTCTCCGATCCCTTGGACAGTATTCGGGGCATTGAACTAGATAAACTCAAGGACAGCGAGGCTGCTGAGCTGCTGATGACCAACAAGGAGGAGTATGTTGCTCGCGTACAGAAAAATATCAAGGAGAGCAAGGAGCACATATTCGACACCCCACCAACCGAAGATCCGCACTACATAGTATTCGAGAAGTTTCAGCAGGACGTGCACGGGCCCGTTCTGGAGCGCATCAAGGCCGGGAGAAGCAAACAGACGGAGCCTTCAGCGCAACAGGCAAATGGTGGACATGCAACTGGTCTATCATGGGTTAAGGAGGGCGAGTTTAAGCCCCTTAGCATTGAGTAAAATATATACACACAATATACACATTCTCTGTAAGTTATAACCTATCGTTGTCTCAATTTTAATCGATTAAAGTTATCCAATTATTTACACTCCTCGTTCATGGGAAATCGCTGAGTATTGCCAACCCATTCGTTCTGCAGCTCCAATCGTTCTCCGTTCCACCGAAAATGACTAGGCGAAGCCTCGCCTGCCGGGAACTCGAAGTGCTGGCTGAGCTCTATGGCCAGTTTGGAGCGGACTAGGCCTATTCCGCCCACCTGTGGCGTTGCTGGATGATAGACTCTTCCGTTTCGCGGATCCATGTACAGTTTATGAGGTTCGTAAGGCAGGGTTAGGACCTGGCCCGAGTGCGCATAGCTGAGCACCACCGTGTCGTCCTTCCTTAGTTGTTCAGTAAACACAACAGGCGTGTCATCGCATCTAATAAAATTCCTTTCACGGCCACAGAGGGAAATGTATGGAAATTCGCTTTCATATCTATTTGTTTTGTTCAGCCGCAGGCGGTTGAAAAAGAACTTGAGAAAATCCTTCTCCTTAAAGCAGCTGGTGAAGTTTTTCATCTTTGCATCGTCCAAAAAGAGCTGCAAAAAATGTTATGCGAGTTCAAACACGGATTTATAGTTGACAGACTCACCATTCCCTCATGATCGATGTAGTAGAAGTATTCGCGTATTTTTGGCTCCGGAGATTGACCTTGGTTATATTGTACGTAACGGCAAGATGCGCTTGGAGATCTAAATAATTTTAGGTTTATAATGGACCTAGAACGTAGTATAAACATTGTTCTTATATCTGAGTGTACTGGGCTTTCGCATAAGCAACAAAATCAGCTGACTTTTGTTTACTACATATGTACATATGTAGATAGGTACTTTTTGATAACCTTCCATTATCAATTTGCAGTTTTTAGGACTCCTGATTCTCAAAAGGCTTCATTTCTGTTTGCAAGTAAATTTCCTGCATTCGCATATTATGGCAAAGATCTACAAAAATTAAAAACGAAAAGCACTTCATTTAAAAACGGCTATGTGGCTGTCTATTGAAACCGAAATTTAGCCAAAAAGCTTACGCTTTGTTTAAAAGACTACTAAAAAGTATGCAAGCTTTTTATTTAAAGGCACATTCGTTAAAAGTTTAAACAATATTTTGGTTTCATTAAAGAAATTAAAATAATTTTGAATTTAAGAATCATTTTCAGAAATATTACGTATTTGTATTACATATAAATACAAGTATGTATAAAACAATACTAAAGGTAAGATAATTTGTATCGTATGGAATTGGTGATAATAATAGATAACTTGTCGTTGCGGCGACTTTTTACTTCAACTTACGTTTTATCGGTTATAAAATGACCCAATATAAGCCAGTTTCAACTTTGGACTTTGATAAATTTGTTCTTTTAAATTTAATTAACTTAGTTTCCGCCTATCGCAGTACTTGTATTTGTATCCTTAAAGAAATACAAAAATTGTTGTAGTCCATGGCTCTGACTTCTTATTGTCTCGCCCCGCAGAAATTCTGGGTACTGAAACCTTGACAAATTAATACATTCGCATGCTTAAACCATAAATCGGAGGAGATAAATCAAACAAAAACGTTATCATAACGTTTGCTCTGCATGAGCAAGTTGAAGTAGCAAAATAAACGGCACGTGTATGATACTGTTTTAGCATTGGCACCTTGAAAGTAGCGACTAACCGAATACCCTTCTTTAAATATAACCAATAATAAACATGGATAGAACTGTAGGCGCCATTGAAGATTGCAATCCCCATTGAGTCAGGGTATTAAAGTTTAATTCCCCGCCTTTGGAACTGATAAGATAGGGTATGTCCAGTAATTAGGAATGACTGGCTGGTTTTGCACCATTGGCCTGATAGCTTCTGAAAGATTTCCATTCAGACGGAGGCGTGGTCCTCTTATCTGCTCACCAATACGCTACAGTCGCCCAGAAGTGTGTGGAATCTTTTTTATAGGTGGTAGTTAAATCAATAGGTTGCTAGATTTCCTCAATCTTATCGCCAAGCTGCAGCATTTATGATTTGCATTTGTTCCTTTAAAAGCAATATATGGGCAATCATAATCATTAGCTCGGAAAAAAATAGTCGAGCATAAACGCCAGTAACACACTTTCTCGGAACACTACACTCCCCCAGTACAGCATTATCTGACACGCAATTTTATCTGTATCTGTATCTGTATCTGCCGACGCTCATACACAACATCATTCTTGTTGGGCCCGCGTTGGGTGTTTCGGTCTGGTGATAAGACTGTCCAGTTTTGTTATGCCCACTATTGCGCGTGCCGCAATATAAAAATATAAATCTCAAAATCACCGATACACACGTGTCTACCTATGTATATATTTACCGTATACATATACACACCGGCAAGATCATTTTTTTTTAGCAAGGGAGCGCGAGAGTCTGCTCAGTGAGTCGAAACTGGCGATAACAGGGAGCGTAGGCGTGAGTCCGCCACTCTCCGCTCCGCTCCTCTCCTCTCACTCGCTCCTATCTGCGCCAGACCTGGACTGCCATTTGGAGTCGTACGATTCATATGATCCCACTCGAAGACCCACCGGCTGTTCATATAATAAGCTCCACGCGTACGATCCCGATCCCGACGCCCAGACCAATCGAATTCTCTTCACAACAGAACTCAACACAACACAACGAAGCGGCATCAAGCTCATACGGTTCTAAAAGTTTCCACGAGCATAATAGATCCATATCAGGGGTGTTTTTCCATTTCCTATGCCTGGCAATCGTGGTAACAAGGAGTGAGGCATATCCTTTTATGAAAATAAAGGGAGTTGCTGCAAGGATTAATGTACATAATGTATGTATGTACATAAGGAAAACGGATCTTGGGGGAATGGGCATTATTCAGACGGTTAGTTTATTTTCAGTAGGCTATTTTCATTCGATTATTCATCAGTCAGATTTCAAATTTTAAACGCTTCAAATTATCTTTGGTCTTCTTTTATAAATTACTCTCTTTCAAATTGATCTCCATGGTACGGGGAGTCAAGTAAGTCTATAAAATGTGTTGGAGTTTTCGTGTTTCCGGGAGCTGTGCCAATTTGGGGCTTACTGCACAGCTGTTGTCCCCCGGCCGCCTTTCACCTCTCCGGCTAACCAATGTCAAAAGAAAGTTCTCTGGTGCGACCGGCATACGGCGACGAAAACAGCTTTGCTCTAGGCCAAAGTTCGCTGACGTTCCAGTCACTGTGCTGGGTGCTAGTGGGGCATATCGGATGCGTGCTAAACGAGTAACAGGTAGATGAAAGCCTTAGTGATTCCATACGAATTTGTCATTTCAAACTTTTAGAAGTGCGGCACTTCTCTATAATATCGTATGGTAATATTTTCAGAACCTACTACACTGATAACTTTAAGAATGCAGGCTCTGGGAAACATTACTCATATAAATTGTTCATAAGTTCTTTGCAATCTCTTCGCTGGCTAAGAGGTATCACGCATTCCATCCGCACATTTCACTCGAGAACAAATCATTGCCGGCAGGGAGCACGCGCAGACCTCGAAACTGCGAGAGGAGCGGCAGAGATTGGGAGCGCCACCGAGAACGTTCCCACCACGACGACTCTCCCACGGAACTAGTCGAAACTTTCGAGTTTGTGCGCTCGACCAGTCCGACGGACAGCTTTGAAGTGAACGGTTCGCGAGTTCCTGGGCAGAAAGACGGCATCGGAGAATCAGAGTGCAGCAGAGCAACCGTTTGCGAATTCGTGCTGTTCCACCTACTTTGACCAAAACGATACCAAACCAATTCAATCCAAACTAAAACTAAAACAAACCAAACGCAAAAGCAACGCCAAGACCAAATCCCAAACAAAAAGAGGCCTCCCCAAGTTGACAGAGCTTCGCATACTCGTACATAGGATACATAGGAAGCGTGAATTTGTATGTGCGTTGAGTTCGGTACATAAGCCAAAGAATCCACGTTGACTCACGAACCGTTTGAAATTGTTTTGTAGTGCTGGAGCAGCGATTACCCACTTTGCGGAGCCGCGAGGACCACAAGGATTGGCGCAGGGCGCTCCTTCGGAACTTTCGCTATCTAATAAGTAAGTCGCCGGTCGGTCGGTGGACCCGGGCCAAGTAGACTGCGTGCATAGCCATTTAATTGCATAATTTGTGCTCAATTTCTTTTTCCACTCGGTTCGGTTGGTTCCTTTCCCCAGCCCTTTCTCTCCGTCCAACCATTGTATGTAATTTGCCATCGTCACTCTCCGGCAGGCAGACATGTGTTAATTACAATTTATTCTATTCTATTCCATACCATACCATGCCATACCATGCCATACCGTACCATACCATACCATACAATATTATGCCATACCATACCATACCATACCATGCGGTGTACCGTACCGCACTCCCTTGCGATACGAACCATCCCAGCACAGAGAGGGAAATGTGGCTGTTTTATTTTCGGACTCATCCTACTTTCTGCCCAATATTTATGACCTTCTTATGGTTTCGCTATTGGGGAAACGTGTTTGTCGCACGGCCAGACAAGCTCACATAGATCCATAATCTATACGTTTGCGTACTGTGCGCGATTACTGCGAAATTATCCACTATCTATTGACCCGAAATTTAACCAGTTTATGGCACAGTTTGATTTGTTTGATTGCTATTGATTCGCCGGGACGGGGAATGTGACAGGCCGTCACATACTATACGGAGAGCTGGACCCGGACTAGTCAATGTCAAAGCTTCGTCTCTATCAGCTTTTCATTTGGCGTGATAAGGTCTAGAGTCTAGACGGGCTGCTCAAGTAAATATAGAGTTTTGGAACGAATGTAAAATTTGAGGCGTTTGATGGTAAATTGAGTTTTGGTAAATGAGTTAATGGCAACTAAATTGCACAGACTTAACTTTAGCGACAATTGTAGTCGTGATTCCACTGTATTCCACAGTACTTCACCTCCTTATCAATCATTGTTATTAATAGGCTATGTGTGTAGTTCAGAATGCGGATTACATAACTTGACATCTGGAACAAAAAATTCTCGGTGCCACCGTAGAACTTTGTGTGAATCATATCTTTAGTCTTCAATCCAGTTTCAGAACACGAATACTTATCGGAGGTAGAGAAACCCATATTTTACACTCACTTTTTGGCGACAAAATCAATGTACGACCCACATTCAAAAGCGACTTTGACCTTAGCAGCTTGTCGTTCAAGATCATACGTTTGTATCCCACAAAAAATCATAGCACGCACATTTCCCTGTGCAAAAGTTGGTGAACAAAAGCAAAGCAGCGGCGTTCAAGTGATTGGGACACTCCAGCGTCATTACTGTGTAGTTAGTTGGACGATCATGTTATTATTACATAATCGCTCATTCCAATGGGCAAACACAATCGGGCCTTGGGTGGGTTTTTTGGCTGGGTTTTGTTTGGGTTGTGGTGTGCCGTGTCAACAACGTTTTCGTGTAATTGCATGAGATTGGCCAGGACTGCGCCCACTTTACTTCCAGAAAATATGAAGGAACACACCCAGTCAACAAGCAACAGGACAATTGATAGCCGGCAAATGTTGTCAGAGTGCCGCACGGAACTGAGCTTATGCCAAAGGTGTTGAAGCTATCCCAGAAATACCTGAAATAAACCCTGATTTGCATGCGAGAATACGTGTTATTTTCACATCATGCTAAACAATTGTAGACCGGCATTCTTCACTTTATACTGATGCTAATGCGCTTTAATTTCAAATTTCAAACACAGCAAGGCAGCCAAGCTTAAATTATTATTGAAACCTACATATATAGATATAAATTCTTTATCGCGGATCGACATTTAAATGATTAATTGAAAATCCTTTCAACTTCCTACGAAAGCGATAGGTGCAAAAGCTTCCGATTATAATTTCCGCTTGCGACTGAGATTAGATTTGCCCGCTCCGTAGATACCAGTTTCAAAACTTTTATTAACTTGGAAATCATTGCATATTCAAGATTATTTCATAACAACTGTGTGCAAGTCACATCGACTTCTTACTGCCTTGCATCTTTTAGACTGATGATATTAGAAAGCCTATCCAGTTAGATAAGGCAACTAAGTCTTCCATAATTTCGATTCTATAGTTATCATAGCTATAGCAGCACAGAGTATAAAAATTAGGGATATGGTTATCTATTATCATTAATGCCATTCTTAAGGTCTGGAGGTCGAGTGCTGCTTCCGCTCTATAAGGTGACATTGGGCTTATCTTTTCGATAATACTACCAATGGGGTTCTAGCCAGTTTGTTAGATCTAGTAATTTATGACACAATCGTGAGGTAATGCGGTGCAAATTAACCGAATTAGCAAACAAAATTGATGTTAACAGTGAAAAATTTAATTAGAGTGGACCAAACTAAAGATTTCCATCACGTCGCGACTATTTATAGATCCCAAACATGGGGGCCCCCTAGGAGTTCCATATATGTAAGTGTGCACTCCCACTGCGAGTGATAATATTTACTACGGACCGACCTCCGATGTGTTAATAAAGCGGGCTTATCGTCTGCTCATTATCTGCACCTGTGTCACACATCCAATACATGTGTCAACATTGGTTCTAGATTATCTATGGACTCCTGGGACCCCCGAACCCCTGGACACCTGGATCCCGGCAACACCACTTTCATTGGGGCATGCACTTCACGTGCTGTTGCGCAGACCCCCCCCATTTAATTGCAACTACGTATGGTAAACACTTCAGTTTGCTAGCCAAAATAGAGTCGATTGGAGGAGGGTTGTCAAACCGATTAGCGCAGGGCCAAGGTCCCAAAAGATCTCCTTTGGATTTCGTAGACCTGACCAATTCTTCACTCTTCTGCTTTAAATTCCATCCATCCAACTTTAGGTAGGTCTCCGTCTGGCATAGAAAGCGGACTTTGTCAACGGGTTGTTTTTTATTTTTGCAAACACAGACGAGCCCCCAGCGTGGTCTACAGACTAGAGAGTACTCACTATTTGAGTCCGTGAATTGGGTCCGGAATCTGAATTGCAAAGCCGGTCTCTGACGCACCCTTGCACCACTAAGCGTGTCCATCTGTCTGTTTCATCGCTGACGGAGGCTACGAAACCCATTTGAATCGCTGATAATGAGCAAAACAACCTAAAAGCTAACAGACATAAAAATAAATGAAATATTTTACGGCATGTGCGGCATAAGCGAACTGACAAGCAACGGACTGTGGATACCCTTACCTTAAATATGTAGCTTAAGTTTTGTGCTGTCTAGTATATTCTCAGTGCGACTATAAATCTTTACCATCGATGGTGACTTAGCCACTAAATATTAATGTACATAATGTTCTAGGGCAAAACAAAAGCTTTAAACAATATGGAGAGCTAATGAATTAAGATGTGTATCTACCTGTGTATCTTGTATTTCCTGGCCACTATTGATCCAAACAGTTAGAGCCACTGAAAATAACCGGGGAACTTCAAGTGCCAAAACGTGCTGCAGCAGTAGCTAATATTTGTTGATCTATTACGATGCCTGCTTATGTACGTAATGGTTGAAAAATAGGCAATTTCAATACCTTAATTAGTGGAACTTTTCGATGCTTAGAAGCAAAACGCATAAGAAAACACAAGCTGAAAAGCTGGCATTTAATTGTACAAGTTGTCGTGCATTTTTAAAACTCGCTTTGAATTTTGATCACGTGAGTCGACTCATATTATTGAGCAGACCGATTGTTCTGTTAAGTGGAATAACACCAAAGTACCAAGCAATGGACTTTGGTCAGAAGATTATAATTGTACTTAGGCCAACAGATGCGATCGGAATTCTATAAACCCAGTTCCAATACAGGGAACCAATCTTTACCTTCAAAATATGTCAGGAATGAAATAATGTATACTACAGTTTCTAAATGGAATTTGCAGTAGTAGTAGTAGCCCGCTGTGGTCTTAGATTTCCAATTGCAACAACTTCAAAACGAGACCTTCTAGATCCGCTTGTTTGTTTGTTTTTTCGAAAGTAATGTCGATAACCTTAAGGCATTTGGCAATCGAGCTTTTGAAATTAACAAATAATTAACGCGTTAAATGCAATCTCTCGATCGTAAAGCAGAACGCTTTTTATTTTTTTATTTCTAAATTTGAATGTAGATGTGTAGAGAATTGCGCCAGAAACATTTATAGGCATGCCACCAAATCCGATTAAGATAAATTGAGTTATGGAGTTTTGAACTTCAGCCTAGGGACATTTCTTAATTTTTTCCAATTTCTACATCAAAAAAATTTTTAAAAAATTAAAAAAAAAAAATTTCAAAATTTGAATGCAGATTTTTAGTGAATTGCGCCAGAAACATTTAGAGGAATGCCACTTCAAAATCCGATTAATATAAATTGAGGTATGGGGATTAGAACTTCAACATCATACATCAGAAAAATTACAAAAAAAAAATTTTAAATCTGAAGCCTGAAACGCTTCTTTCTGCCTGTTACATACTTTTCAACGAATCTACTATACCCTTTTACTCTACGAGTAATATACTTAATACGTGCATGGACTAAACCACAACATGTTGAGAAGAAGAATTAAGGGGAATAAGCTAGAATAATAGTTGTGATAATAGCAAATTTGCCATGTGCAATACTGAAATATGACTTTTTTTCTGTTAGGCACATTTGAGTCCTAGTTGGGATCACTATGTTCATTCCGGCCGCCCAGTCCGCGTACAGGACACTGCGCAAGACGCAGCCGCGTGTCCGGCTCAATGCCTTCTTCAAAAATGGCTACTCCAGCAAGGTGAGTTATTCAGATGGCGTATATTTAAACACAATAGAAATGCATCCACTTTTGGCAGGTGGAATACAAGCCCATCCGGTCGGTGCTGGTGGCTAACCGCGGTGAGATCGCCATCCGAGTGTTCCGTGCCTGCACAGAGTTGGGCATCAAATCGGTTGCGGTCTACTCGGAGCAGGACAAGATGCACATGCACCGACAGAAGGCCGACGAGTCCTATATAGTGGGCAAGGGTCTGCCCCCCGTGGAGGCCTACCTCAACATTCCAGAGCTCATCAGGGTGTGCAAGGAGAACGATGTGGATGCCGTGCATCCCGGCTACGGTTTCCTATCAGAGCGCAGTGACTTCGCCCAGGCGGTGATTGATGCCGGACTGCGTTTCATTGGCCCCTCACCCGAAGTCGTCCAGAAGATGGGTGACAAGGTGGCGGCTCGTGTGGCGGCCATTGAGGCGGGTGTGCCCATTGTGCCCGGCACCGACGGCCCAGTGACCACCAAGGAGGAGGCAGTGGAGTTCTGCAAGAAACACGGCTTGCCCGTAATCTTCAAGGCCGCCTACGGAGGCGGAGGTCGCGGCATGCGCGTCGTTCGCAAAATGGAGGATGTGGAGGAGAGCTTTCAGCGGGCCAGTTCAGAGGCCAAGGCCGCCTTCGGCAATGGAGCGATGTTCATCGAGAAGTTCATCGAGCGACCACGTCACATAGAGGTTCAACTGCTGGGAGACAAGGCCGGAAATGTGGTGCATCTGTACGAGCGCGACTGCTCCGTGCAGCGTCGCCACCAGAAGGTGGTGGAGATCGCTCCAGCGCCGCGCTTGCCCATCGAAATCCGGGACAAGATGACGGAGGCAGCAGTGCGTTTGGCCCGCCATGTGGGCTACGAAAACGCCGGAACCGTGGAGTTCCTGTGCGACGAATCCGGCAACTTCTACTTCATCGAAGTGAACGCCCGTCTGCAGGTGGAGCACACGGTCACCGAGGAGATAACGGGCATCGATCTGGTGCAGTCGCAGATTCGCGTGGCCGAAGGCATGACCCTGCCCGAGTTGGGCTACACGCAGGACAAGATCGTGCCCCGTGGATACGCCATCCAGTGCCGTGTGACCACCGAGGATCCGGCCAACGATTTTCAACCCAACACCGGTCGCTTGGAGGTCTTCCGATCCGGCGAGGGTATGGGCATTAGGCTGGACAGTGCGTCCGCCTATGCCGGCGCTATCATTTCACCATACTACGACTCCCTGCTGGTGAAGGTGATCTCGCACGCCAGCGATCTGCAGAGCTCCGCATCCAAGATGAACCGTGCCCTAAGAGAATTCCGCATTCGCGGCGTCAAGACCAACATCCCCTTCCTCCTGAACGTGCTGGAGAACCAGAAGTTCCTGCACGGCGTCCTCGACACCTACTTTATCGACGAGCACCCGCAACTGTTCAAATTCAAGCCCTCACTCAATCGCGCCCAGAAGCTGCTCAACTACATGGGTGAGGTTCTGGTCAACGGACCCCAGACGCCTCTCGCCACCACTTTGAAGCCTGCCCTCGTGTCGCCCCACGTTCCCGAGGTTCCGCTGGGTGAGTTCAGTGCGCCTTGCGCTCTAAGGATCCCCACTTAAATGGCATGTGCTTTTCGGGTTCACGCTTGCTTATGTGGCTACCACTTAAGCCAATCGCCTCTTTTCGAATGTTTCAGCTATCCGGAACAGGCGGTAGCGGGGTCCTCTCACGAAGCATTTTGCATCCCGATTAAAAAAATATTTTTAATAACAATGTTTTGCATAGGTTTCTAAGATAGCAACTGACAGAGTTGCAAGTTTATATTGTAATATTGTAACTTATTACAATTGTATTCTTATTTATCATTTTTCATTCCTTTTTGATCAATGTTAGCAATTTTCGATATATGTATCAAGCAACCTTAATCCAAGAATTTTGTGATTTATGAGTTCTTGAAGATCTCAGACTTAATTCAAAGTCAAAACCATATCATATCTTTTGTCTAACTCGGTACACTGCTTCGTGCGAGGGTCCTAGAGATACTCAATCTATTAAATAGATATACTATCAAATTTAATAGAACCCGTATCCACTTGTTTTCAAAAGTAACCAATGAAAAGGCATGTTTGTTCCACGCATCTCCTGTGAAGTGTTCTTTGCTTTTCTGATATGCTTTAATCGAACCTTTATGTTTTTACTCTTTCAACTATCAATTTTTGTTGCATCTGTTATTAATCAACCAAAACGAATCGAAACCGCGTTCGCAATCGAATCGGCATTTGCAAAACACCAAACCAATATCACACACCTATGTCTGTACCGACACCAATCAACAACGATTCAAAATCGCACAACACACCAAACCCACGACCACGCCCACGCCCACTCCGCCTATACCAAATGCGGTACGCTCCCATGATCTATCTCATATCCAACGAATCGTAGATCTCTCCCCGGAAGCTATAGAACGCGAAGAACGTGGCGAGGCAAAAGGTACGTTTACTTGTTTCTCCCGAAATCATCCAGGACATTTGTACATACGAGCATCTAACATGTCGGTTTATGTGGAAAGGGTATCCTAAGTATCCCACGTGCTGCTCAATCTTTATGATAAATCAGACCAATAGTTAATACACACTCAAGCTCCTATAACTCAATCCAGATACAAAAATCCCTTATGGGGACACCGAGCTATAGACATGTTAATACGTAAACATACATATAATACACATATGTGATTTGGTGTTTTAATGTGATTGCATATATCATCATTTTTGGGTTTAAGCTAATTGTGTTTTTTATATTTCTCAATAATGCAGATTTTGGTTTTACCAGCTTTTGATGTTCAGCTTTTATTTATTAAATTGGTTTAATGTTGTATTTACCTTAACCGTAGATGTCCCATAGTTAATGATATATAATATAATGATTAAGCGGGAATATACATACATATCGTCTAAACCAAAACAGCAAACTGATATGATTTTATGGTGCATGCAGTTACGGAACCACCGAAGGGACTCCGCGAGGTCCTGGTGTGCGAAGGTCCAGAAGCTTTTGCCAAGGAGGTGCGCAACCGAAAGGAACTGCTGCTCATGGACACCACTTTCCGTGATGCCCACCAGTCGCTGCTGGCCACCCGTGTCCGTTCCCACGATCTGCTGAAGATCTCCCCCTATGTGGCGCACAAGTTCAACAATCTGTATTCGCTGGAGAACTGGGGCGGAGCCACCTTTGACGTGGCGCTGCGCTTCCTGCACGAGTGCCCGTGGGAGCGCCTGGAGGAGATGCGCAAGCGCATTCCGAACATTCCCTTCCAGATGCTGCTGCGCGGGGCCAACGCCGTCGGCTACACAAGCTATCCGGACAACGTGGTCTACAAGTTCTGTGAGCTGGCTGTGCAGACCGGTATGGACATCTTCAGGGTGTTCGACTCGCTCAACTACCTGCCCAACCTGATCCTCGGCATGGAAGCTGCCGGCAAGGCGGGCGGCGTGGTGGAAGCGGCCATCTCCTATACCGGAGACGTCAGCGATCCCAAGCGCACCAAGTACGACCTGAAGTACTACACTAACCTGGCTGACGAGCTGGTTAAGGCGGGCACCCACGTGCTTTGCATCAAGGACATGGCTGGTCTGCTCAAGCCCGAAGCCGCCAGGTGAGTCTGAAGGGAACTTTTCGTAGTCCTGTTGGTTACTATTTTGCTTCCATCCTCTGAAAGGCTTCTGATCACCGCCATTCGCGACAAGCATCCCGACATCCCAATCCATATCCATACCCACGACACCTCTGGAGCGGGAGTGGCCTCCATGCTGGCATGCGCCAATGCCGGAGCTGATGTCGTGGACGTGGCCGTCGACTCGATGAGCGGCATGACCTCCCAGCCAAGCATGGGTGCCGTAGTTGCCTCCCTGCAAGGCACTCCGCTGGACACGAACTTGGATCTGCGTACGGTGTCGGAGTACTCCGCCTACTGGGAGCAGACCCGCACCCTGTACGCTCCCTTCGAGTGCACCACCACAATGCGGTCGGGCAACGCCGATGTCTATCTCAACGAGATACCTGGTGGTCAGTACACCAACCTACAGTTCCAAGCCTTCTCGCTGGGTCTGGGCGACTTCTTCGAGGACGTAAAGAAGGCCTACCGTGAGGCCAACCTGCTGCTAGGCGACATTATCAAGGTGACGCCCTCGTCGAAGGTGGTAGGTGATCTGGCCCAGTTCATGGTGCAAAACGACCTGACCGCCGACAAAGTGCTGGAGCGAGCAGAGGAGCTGTCGTTCCCCAAGTCGGTGGTGGAGTACTTGCAGGGCTCTATTGGCATCCCGCATGGAGGATTCCCTGAGCCCCTGCGTTCACGAGTCCTTAAGGACATGCCCCGCATCGAGGGACGCCCGGGAGCCGAGCTGCAGGACTTGGACTTTGACAAGTTAAAGACCGAACTGCAGGAATCTCACTCCGGCATCACCAACCGAGACGTCATGTCAGCTGCCCTCTACCCGCAGGTGACAAATGATTTCCTGAACTTCCGCGACAAGTACGGACCCGTCGACAAGCTGGACACTCGAATCTTCCTCACTGGTCCCAATGTGGGCGAGGAGTTCGACGTACCTCTGGAGCGCGGTAAGACGCTGAGCGTGAAAGCTCTGGCTGTGTCCGCCGATCTCAAGCCCAACGGTATCCGCGAGGTATTCTTCGAGTTGAATGGCCAGCTGCGCGCGGTCCACATCCTGGACAAGGAAGCCGTTAAGGTAGGTTCAGTCATCAGTCATCTGTAGGTAATGGAACTCATACTTTTTCTCTTCTTCCGCAGGAGATCCATGTCCATCCCAAGGCCAATAAGTCAAACAAGAGCGAGGTGGGCGCCCCTATGCCCGGAACAGTCATCGATATCCGCGTGCAGGTTGGCGACAAAGTGGAGAAGGGTCAGCCTCTGGTCGTGCTCTCAGCCATGAAGATGGAGATGGTGGTGCAGTCGCCATTGGCGGGCGTTGTCAAGAAGCTGGAGATCGCCAACGGAACTAAGCTGGAGGGCGAGGACCTCATTATGATTATCGAATAGACAGTGCCCCGATAGAAGAGTGCCCCCGAATCAGAATGTCCATTGTCTGAGCTGCCACCGCACAAACCCAATGTAAAATTAAGTCAAAACAGTGATAATCTTAGGGATTCAGTCAGTTTGATTGATCATAAACTGTCCAAATTCGCCTGTGTCTATTTTTATATGAATCTAAATCATTCATGTTTCCGTGTTTCCAGGATCAATCGACCACCATCACTAACTGGTAAAATCTCTAGCTGTCCCTGCCAAAATAGATCGAATTGTATAAGTTCGTGCCCAAGTATATTTGTAAATTTGTCGTAGGGCTTTTCCCGCAAGTCATTTGAATCAAATTTGTACGATTATGGAATTTTTAATTCGCAAACACCTTTGTCGAGATTCCCCCTCTAGTAAATACGTAAGTGGTTATTAATGTTATATTAACTATTGTGTAATAAACGTTATACAGAATAAAAAGTAACGCGCTTTTTTCCTTGCTGTGAAATTGGTTAAAAAAAATCTCCAAACAAAAATTTAGTGGATAATCTTCTATTTTATTTTATCCTAACATTAATTAAACTGAATAAAGTTAACAATCATGACTGAAACTATTCCAAAGTTAAAGCCTACATGCACTTGACAATGAACTCTAGGAAAGCCAGCTCCTTGTTCAGCTCGGTGACCCGCTTAAAGTGCCTCTGGACGTAGGGAGTGAGTACCTCGACCATGTTGCCATTGTTGTAGAACCGAGCTTGGGGATCCTGAAGAGCATCTCCAATCAAGTACTTAAGGATCATGTTGCCCGCCTGCGAGTGGCGCGAGTTAGTGGTCCATGCCTTGACATGCTGCAGCAGTGCTACTCGCTGGTCAACGTTCAACTGGTCAACCAATTGGCGGAGACCTGGTTCATCCCGCTGGCGTACAAAGTGGTTGATAATATCGAAGCTGGCTTTCGGCTTGTCCAGGTTCAAAGCCAAAACGAAGGCCTTGTGAAGCTGCTTTTGGGCGTGCAGAAGGGAATGTAGAGTCTGCTCCTGCTCCAAGGTGGCCTGTCGCTGGTCCAGCGCTTCGTTTCGCGTTACCTGCGTGACATCACCGAAGCGGATCAGCTTGGAGTCGGCGCCGCCGGTGTAAAAGAACCGATTACTCCTGGCGGATACGGCCAGAGCCCAAACCCTATCGTTGTGCTCGTCCAGGGATTGCAGACATGTGTTGGTCTTAATATTCCAGAGCTTTAGAAGGCCGTCCGAAGCAGCGGAGATGATGAACTTTCCGTGATCCAGGAACTCGGCTCTGAGTATGGTGCACTCCTGATCGAAGCGTTTTATGCACGCAAAATTGCTGATGGACCAGAGGCGCAGAGTACAGTCCGACGATGAGGTAAGCACAATCTGATCCACCGGAGAGAAGCGCACACTCCACACACCGCGGGTGTGTCCCCGCAGAACTCCCTGCAGCGTGTTGGACTCTGCCAGCCACACCTTGGCCGTCTTGTCTTGCGAGGCGGTGGCAATAAGCTTGTTATTCGGAGCATAGATTACGCAGTTTACCTCCTTGTCGTGGGAAAGCGCTGCGTAGCGCAGATTAAAAGAGTATGAGTTGCGATCCTCCTTATCCCTGACGAGCTGCCACACCTTCATGCTGCCATCCTGGCTCACGGAGGCAAAGCCGGTGGCCCCGTTATGCGTCATGGCCACGCAACCGATAGTGGAGGTGTGGCAGTTTGCCTGTTGAGTCAGAGCCTCAAGCGAGCAGACCTTGTCGTGCTGAAGCCTCCAAAGCCGAACGCTGCAGTCCTTGCCCACCGAAATCAGCAGATTTTGTGAGGCAGCAAGGGACATTACCGTATCCGAGTGACCAACGATCAGCTTGCAATTCATATCATTCTCCGTGTCGTACAGCTTGAAGTGCTTGCTGTTGGTAGCTACGGCCAGGTACCGATCGTTGTCGCCCATGAAGCACATGTCTAAGATCTCGTCGTTGTAACCCACCAAGTGTTTGATGGGTTCTAGGGTCTTGACGTCGTAGACCAAGATATTCTGCTCTGTAGTGACCAGGGCCAGCTGTTTTAGCTCGGTGCAGTGCAGCAGTCTACTGATTTGGAAATCAGATTGAGAGAGAATATCCCTGATCTTCCAAGATTTACTATCGACCTGTTGCAGCTTGCCCGACCCACTGGCCACAATTATCTGTTGGCCCTCGTCCGTGTATACGACGCCCTCGAGCTCCTCGTACAAGGGGAGAACCTTCAACTGCTTGCTCTCCAACTGCTCCTGCAATTGCCACACGATCAGTACCTTGTCCCGGCTCACAGTCACGATCACATTGCAGTCGGACGCGTTGCTCTTGAAGCTTAAACCTGTGACTTGCGATAGGTGACCTCGCATTTTGTGCACCAGGGTCTTGGTCTCGTAGTTCCAAACATAGACAGTGTTATCTGATCCTCCAGCGTAGATCTCTTTGCGCAGCACATTGGGGTGAAAGACGAGGAGCCAAGCGGGGCCAGGGAAATCCTTAAGGGCACCCAGGCAGCTATTGTTCGAGTAGTCCCACAGCCTCAGTGTGGAATCTGCTCCGCCGCTGGTGCAAATAATCCTGCCGCAGGGACTGAACTCAACCCGGATAACGGGTCCCTTGTGCTGGGCCTTCCACAACTTCACAAGCTTCCCAGTGCCCAGCTGCCACAGCCTAAGCAGGCCACTTCGATGGGCAGTGACCAGGTGTTCCTGGGACAGTCCGAAGCAGGTAATCGTATCCTCTTCCACATCGATGTTGTCCAGCTCCGCCGGTTTCTTGTTATCCCCCGACGAGGATGTCAAGCCGTAGCTCTTTAGGATTTGGGAGGTCTGCACATCCACCTGGTTTACAGCAGAGCCATTAAGGCAGTAAAGATGATGTCCATCCGTGCTCCAGGCGATGTCGCCGCCGACGTAGAAGTTCGTGTAGCGCGCCTCCGCCGCATAGCTGCATTTTTAAATTGATTTAATCTTGCAATCATCAGGTAAATAAGACGTTTTGGATACCTTTTCTCGCTGATACCCGCCAGCATGATCTTCGTTGTTTATAAATACAATAACCGCGTGCGCAGAAACGGAACTAGTTCGACATTTATCTTTACAGAGAATGTTATGGAGATTCCAAAAAACAAATGGTAAAATTTAAAAAAACAAAAAGGATAATAACTAATCCTTTAAAATTGGAATTGGCGTTATTTTTGTATTAACAGTTTTTTCGGATATAAATTGCGAATGGTGTACACTTATTAACGATAGGCGTTCAGAGACTATCGAAACTCCTCCAGCCGATAGGCGTCTTTGTTGTGTCCACCACTAGCCAAGCAAAAGCCGTCAAATCATCGTCGCATTTAACCCAATATATTCAACTCATTTTGCGTTTGAATTGTTTAAATTTTCACCAAGTCTTCGCTATGAGTACTATTGGCACTGGAGTAAGTAGTCAGCGAACTCTTCTATCAGCACATTCTTAACATCACCTTCTCGCTTGCAGTACGACTTGTCGGCCTCGCAGTTCTCGCCTGATGGCCGAGTTTTCCAGATCGACTACGCCTCGAAGGCGGTGGAGAAGAGCGGTACCGTGATCGGGATTCGAGGCAAGGACGCCGTGGTGCTCGCGGTGGAAAAGATCATCACCAGCCAGCTTTACGAACCAGACGCCGGCGGACGCATCTTCACAATCGAAAAGAACATCGGAATGGCGGTGGCCGGCTTGGTGGCCGATGGAAACTATGTGGCGGACATCGCCCGGCAGGAGGCAGCCAACTATAGGCAGCAATTTGAACATGCTATCCCGTTAAAGCACCTGTGCGATCGAGTCGCCGGTTATGTCCACGCCTATACTCTTTACAGTGCCGTCCGCCCCTTCGGACTGTCCATCATCCTCGCCTCCTGGGACGAGGTTGAGGGCCCACAGCTCTACAAGATCGAGCCATCCGGCTCATCCTTTGGCTACTTCGCCTGCGCCAGCGGCAAGGCCAAGCAGCTGGCCAAGACTGAGATGGAAAAGCTCAAGACGGATATGAAGATTGACGATTTGGTGAAGAGCGCCGGTGAAATGTACGTCTACAGCCCCAAAAACCTTATGTTCCAAAAATCAGGCGAACTCAAACTTTGCTACGAGTGAAAACTTACTTGCTTACAATATGAAGCATTTTTGGAACATCGATTACATTTAAATTCGGGGTTTGATGAAATAATATGTATTTCCTATATTTTAGCATCTACAAAGTCCATGACGGGTTGAAGGACAAGGACTTCCGCTTCGAAATGGGTTTGGTGGGCAGGGTAACAGAAGGCCTACATCTTATAAATCCCCCAGAGCTGACGGAGAAGGCGAGGAACGCTGGTGATGCCGCCAGCACGGAAGATGACAGCGACAATGAGACGCGTTAGTTCGTTTGTGCCACTGAATCTAATTCTGGGCCTGAATACATAATGCTAATTTTATATTTCCCTAAAGCGCAAAATGAATAAACAAAATCGGGTGAATTTTTGGTTTTGTATATCTTTTTCAATTCTTTAGTAGTTTTCGCTTGATGTTATTTTAAATCGTTGGTTATCGGAACTGGTTCCTTTTAAATGTAATTGCATCTATCGAAAAAGTCTCGATTACTATGCATAAAGTCGTATCGCTCACAGCTGATGCATTTCGCGCCATTTATTGTATTTTTTTTTTGGTTTTAACGACCGACGACGAGAAATTCAGTGTATTAATAACTACAATGACTACCTTAATAGAACAGTTAATTGCGAAGCTGGGGCTAAGGGAGGAGCCAAACGTGTTAGAGTAAGTAAAAAGTTACACATGTTTAACACAATGCACAAGTTTAACCAGTAAAATCGAATCCTTTCAGGAAAACCACCGAATTAGTGCGCCTTCTGGAACTGCGTTCCACGAATGTCCCTCTGCAGATCAACGAGTACGGGAAGATAGTGCTGTGTGCGGATCTCGCTTCCTGCATGATGGGGATCGGTTTCGACAAGGAACAGGCTCTGAAATTGTCCGGATTGCGCAAGAGCCACTACCTCAACAACAAGCGGATGTTTGAGAAGCTGCTGGACCTAAACAAACTGCCTAGCGTGAATGACATCTGTGTTCAGCTGGGTCTGAACGAAGTTGCCCGCAAGGCGGAGGAGCTAATGACTGTCTTCAAGGGCGTAACGGCCACCGAAGGCACCGATATCGACACCACCCACCCTCAGTACGCCACCATGGCCGTGTTCCAGGCCTGCCGCCTGATCAAAAATAAGGTCTCCAAGTCAAAGCTCATGCCCTTCAGTAACCTGCGACCCTCCCAGTTTCAGCTGCTCGAGCAGCAGTGGGAACGCATGCTAGCTAAGCACCACAAGGAGAGCAAAGTATCATCAAGCACCGATGTGGACGGTAAACTTATGGAAAACCAAAATGAGAATATCAAGGGCCACGGGGCAAAGAAGGCACAAAAGCCTCAGGCGGAGGACTACGAGATATGGAAATCACGAATGCTGGCCACAGCGCAGACCAAACTGAAGGAATTAGAAGCATCCCAAGCCCATACGGATAATCAGCTTCTCGAGGCTTAGGGATTTATATTTTACATCTCCAAAACATTTCCTAGTGAAACTAAGCTTGACTTGATAGATACTTACCTAAAACTTATTAAGCATTCTCATTAGTTGTATGTACAATAGAAAGCGCATTTCAAAACAAATTTCCATTCGTTTCAAGAGGTTTTATTTGATTGCGTGGTAACCCCTAGCCCAGTATTATCGCCCTAGGACTTCCACATGTCATAAAAGCTATATAGTCGAGTTCTCCGACTATCAGATACCCCGTTACTCAGCTTGTGAAAGTGCGAACTTATCTAAAAAAAATTTAAATGTTTTCAAAAGTGTGGGCGTGGCAGCTTTGGGCGGTTAACTAATAAAAAAATGAATAAGTATAACATTTTTCAAATGTTTTATTTGATTGCGTGTAACCCCTAGCCCAGTATTATCACCCTAGGACTTCCGCATGTCATAAAAGCTATATAGTCGAGTTCCCCGAGTCGAGATATATATCATATATCATATATATATGTATAGTGACATATCCTCAAGTCCCTTAGACTTAAGCATATGCCTACCGAGCATATACACAGTATAACCACAGTATATATACACCCCACACTACCCATTATCTCCCCAAGCAATAAAAGATAAGAACAGGATGTTATTGAGACAAATCACCCACTGGTAGACTAATCATTCTTTGCCTATACCCCAAATAATTTTCACGTTCCCACGTTCGAAGTTCGGACTCGCAAACTCAAAAACAAAACAAAATCGAACTACAGAAATGTTAAAGCTTTCCTAATGTCTTTATCGTCGATTCAAATTTTAAGAGCAGTACAACTTTGCGATTATATTTCGTTAAAAAAGTAAAATAAACGTAACACATTTTAATTCCTAATTGGCAATTTCGTCAATTGATTTGGTTTTGTTTTGCATATGAGCTAGAAGAATTTCGCCAATATCCACAAGGTTCCCCTTGGTATCATGGGCTAAAAAGAAGATAGGCAAACATATTATAGTCTAACAAAATTTCGTTTTCATATAGCCTACAAAACCCATTGAAGAGTTGTCTACCTACAACTGTAGATGATGGGCTCCACCAGGTCTCGGGTTTCCGGCCACGTAGTAATGAGTTCCTTTAGGTGCTTGTAGAATTTCAGCCAGATCTCCCGCTTCAGTTCATGCATCTGCCAGGTGGCCGACAAATTAGAATGCATAGAATCGAAGAAGGATAGCATGGGCGTAGCACCTTCGATAGCAAAGTAGTAGGTCCTGCCATTGACCTTTTTGTTCATTCTGTAGACAGCGTGCTTGAAAGGACGATAGACACCGGCTCGGTTAATGAACTGGGTCTCCAGGGGCTAGGAAATAAATCAGTGTATCTGTTATGCGAACTTTGTGGTGCAATTATTAACATTTACCTCAGCTTTGTCAAGTAGTTTGCTTTCGAGAACTCCGTTGATAAACATTTCGTCGGGAATAAGTATAATCAGGCGGTTTATGCCGAAGGTAATATTATTCGCGTCCTTGCGAGTACATTTGTGTTACTTATTTGCGCATAAAATAAGATCAACTCACCTCGTACACGGCCATTCGATGTTTGAGTCCATCGTCCTTGCGCTCGGGTAGAGACAGTTTGAGGTAGCCGTGAAAGTAGTTGGAGGCCATTCCGGCTGCATAGTCCAGTCCATGGGAGTCCCTTATCCAGTGGGAGTAGCTCAGGGTGCTCTGACCTATGTCGCTAAAGCTCCAGATCCAGTAGAGCGGCATGTAGGCCAGAAACAGCACCGTGGGCATTACATCCCTGTAATTCCCGGTAATCGAAATTCGAAAAAATGCCACGAGAAGGAATCCCACCAGCAGGTAGATCGATTTGCTGTTGTATGTACACGATCGCCGCAGGATTACCCACAACCGATCCTCGGGCAGATAGTACCGCCAATTGCATATATATTCGACGACACACCGGTATATGCGCAGGAGGAGATCAGCTAGGAACACGGTGGCCATGACGCGAACGGAGGTGCCTGTAATGAATCACGACCATATACATAAGTGGTGTTTGGCACGCTTCAGTCGTCACTCACCAATAAAGTCTACAATCATCTTCCGCAAATAAAAACATTTCCTGCCCTTCTGCACGCGAATATCTTCCTCCACCGCCTCTAGGTCGTTACTTACCACTGCCATTTTGTAATCCATATGTGGTAAAGGGTTGCCAGATCGATTTGAAGATCTCGCGCTTTTGAAGCTTCCCTAGAATTTAAAATGCGATTAATAATGGTTTTTTGTTTTGTAATGTATGTGTGCATACCAAATTTGGCCCCCTATGAATGAACTTTTATTGCGTATTTTTTAATGCAATTGTAAATACATACATATGTATGTATGTTTGAGCGCAAATGAAAGAACTACATTGTTATGTAGTTATCTCTATTTATTGTGTTGTATTATTATTTCAAAGAATCGCTCATTTGTAGTCTCGACTATCAGATACCCGTCACTCGACTTATAAATTAAAAAAAAAATATGCCTTAATAATATTTTATAAGAATATCAACACATGTTCTTAACTTTTGGCAATGACATATTGACCATATGTCATCTGCCAATATTTTGTAAATTCAAAATCATTTCATTCAAATTAGCATTGAGAATTTTTAGGATTTGTGCAGTAGAATAACAAGATGCGGAACTATTTTGATGCGTAACTCTGTTGCTAGAATATTAGTGATTATATTAGTAACGTAGGCGATACTGGAATCTACAGGCTGATGCCAAACCTCACCCTGAAAGTTTCCGGATAGTAGGAAATTTCGAAATAAGTAAAAATGGTTAAACTTTTTTTCTCATTATACATAATAGTGTTCAATGAATATATTATCCGCTTAGCTTACTCGTAGACTAAGTTAAAGTAAGTTAAGTGTTAAGTGTCTTATGTAACCTTAAATATTATGTTTTAATATCAAATTAAATTAAAAAATGAGAAGCCATTAGAAAACTATATTATACCTAGCGTGAGTATTAAAGTGTTTAAATTGTTACCTGCCCTTCTGTCTATCTATCCAGTACGAATCCAAAGATGTTAGGCCCAAAAAGCTGTCTTAGGAAGGCCTTTGTTCGGGGATCAGAATCTCCACTGAGTAATCTTATGCTCTGATCTATACTGCAGCACTGTTCGCGGGATGCCCCTATCTAAGAGACAGATCATTAAATATATATATTATTCCAATACGAATAATAATAAGACCGTAGAACGTAATTTGTAAAACATCGTATTCAGTGTGACCGTGCTATACAACTAAAACTACCGAGTCCATTAAATATCGATGCATCGATAGTGCCGCTTATGATTCCCACCACTAATTTTATAACTGCATCGAAGCGTCAGCAATTGTTGTTATTTGCAATGCAAAAATCGAGCTAATTCCGTGGTATTGTAATGTTTTTAAAGTGTTCGGTAGAAGCAATTGGAAATCAATATTAACCAAAGCCGCTTACCACAAAATGTAAAGCTGCAGTTGCCCTACCAACTTGAGGCGAACCTAATTGGATAAACAAAGCAAGTACTTTCATATAACATTTCATATATGTGTACTACGTAAATAAGAGTTATTCATAAGAGGTTCTCATAAATAGAGTTATTGTTGAGACTGATAGGCTCACGTTTTGATAGTAGTTGTTTCTAAACCGATATGTACTTTTCCTCAGATTCCGAGAGCACGTCATCGGTGACAGATCGTCTTTAATTCTTCGATAAGAAAAACAAATCAGCGGCCTGAGGAGCTGAACAACCGCGCCCTTAACAAAGGAGAATCGGTAGCACCATGCCGATACTATATAGTGTCATATCGCGGGGCACCACCGTGCTGGCCAAGTTTGCGGAGTGCGTCGGCAACTTTGCCGAAGTGACGGAGCACATAATCGGTCGGATCGGGGTGCACAACCACAAGATGACCTACACACACGGCGACTACCTGATCCACTACACCTGTGAGAACAAACTGGTCTACATGTGCATCACCGACAACGTGGGTGAACGAACCACTGCCCCAATTAGCTACCATAGTCGCTCATTGCTCAATCGATAACGTCTCGTTTCTTTGCAGGAGTTCGAGCGGTCGCGGGCCTTCCTCTTCTTGGCGGATATCAAGCAAAAGTTCATCCAGACCTACGGCCTCCAGGTAGCCACCGCCATTGCCTACTCCATGAACACGGAGTTCTCTAAGGTCCTCGCCCAGCAGATGGTCTACTTTAGTCAGTCCCGGGAGGTGGACACCATTTCGCGGGTACATGGGCAGATTGACGAGCTTAAAGACATAATGGTTAAGAATATTGGTATGAAGGAATTGAAATCTATAAGTTCTCTTTGTTTCCTGACCGCATTTCACCCCATTTGCAGACAGTTTGCGGGATCGCGGCGAGAAACTGGAGCTGCTGGTCAACAAGACCGAAAACTTGAGCAATAATGTGAGGTGATACCAAACTGACTTCAAAATTGGTTTTCATTTGATCTCTCTTACAGTCAGTTGCATTCCGCAAGGCCTCGCGAAATTTGGCGCGTCAAATGTTTTGGAAGAACATTCGCATCTATGTGGTGGTGGGTCTGGTGATAACCTTCATCGTTTACGTGATTGTGAGCATGGCCTGTGGTGGCCTCGCTTGGCAGTCCTGTGTTTAGGACACGGTAAAAAGTTGTTTATATTGTTATAGGCTCATAACACATGTATATTTGCATATAAAAGTCTACAGTACCCTCATTATCTATGTTCTATGTAATAAACTTCAATGTATACCGGATAAAATGTTGGAAGAGATAATGGAATGTTCACTTGTCCTCTACATATACCACGTCGTTGGCCTTGACTTTTCCCGGCAGTCGGAGTCCCAAATGCACGCCCAGAGCCGGCGAGCTGTAGTTGAACAAGCGATAGCTGTGGAATCCAGATATGAATTTCGAGATATGTAAGTCGTACTTCTCAGATATTTCGATGGGCAGTGACTCACCTTCTAAGCGTTTTGAGAGGCTCCCCTTCAGAACTCCTCTCGGCCGTCTTCGCATTTATGTTGGTAAAAATACAGCGAGTGCATGGCGCCACCGTACGGAAAACAGCATCGTCACCTATACGCAACCATTGCCAATTGTCCTCGGCATAGGGTTCATCGACATCCATTTTCAGTTCGAAGTTCCCTCGGAACTGCAGTGCATCCACAGGATTTTTTAGACGAGTATTAAGATCGGCGACCGACGAAAGGTTCATTAGCATAAAGCTGGTGGCATCGTTGAAGGTGCCCTGCGGAAAGAATCCAAATCAAATGTGATCTTTGCCCTAAGTGACTCTTAAATTTCGAAATGCTAATCTGCTACCTACCGAGTCCTCCTGCCTAATGAAGGGCATGGACTTTAGACGGGGATTGGTGCTTCTCACTGGTTTCGGATAGGGATAGTGCACTAGCTTGAGGCCGCTCTCCTTCTTTAGGATGGCCTGGGAGAACCATGTGTTGATCCGTTCTCCGCAGGGCATCACGTCTACGGAAACGCCCCAAACGGATGTGTTCACATCCTTGCCAGGACCGTCCAGATTCTCGAAGTCTAGCTCCAGGTCGGGCATTTCTTGAGCGCTGAAGACAAGCTTGCTGGGCGATACCTTCTTCGACTTGATCTGGGTCATGTGCGGGTACCCCCGAGCCGTAATCATTTCGTTCATTTCGTTGACCACCATCAATGTGCGATCCCTTATTCCCTCAAAGGACATGCTAAGCACATCGCAGTCGTACTCCACTCCGGGCTTCGAGATGTCCATGGGGGCACAGGACTTGACCGGAAAAAAGTGGATCCTCTCCACGGTGCCCACTCGTCGCCACTTTTGGGGCATCACATCGCGGGTCAGATGGCGGTACAGTAGGAAGCTGGCCCCACCCACCGCCACCAGACCAACGCCCACGGCCACCAGGGTCTTGGGACTGAGGTCAAAGGTCGAGTTATTTCCGCCGGCTGCAGGATGAGCCAAGTTACTGAAGGATCTCCCAGCTAATCCCCGTTTTCACTCACTTGCCATCTCCTTTGCGCTGTAACACTTGTTGCTTTCTCCGCGTTAAAAGCTCCACTGATTAGGTTCATTGGAAAAAAAAGCTCTCCTTTGGAGAAGATCCAAGGCTGGACAACGATGGCATGTACATACCTGAGCACATTTTGACACCGTTAGGTTGATAACTGGCATACAACTAGCGTAATGAACTAATGATAATGCATGTAACCTGGTTTTTAGCGCTATTTTTCGATTGGAAGGGCGGACTTACTACTTTATTTTTAAATTACCATCCCTGCTCCCTCCTGGTTAATCGATAACTGTTATCGGACATGTAGCCGGCGAATGTGTTTACCTTTGTTTACAAAACATTTGTAAGAAGCCTGTTAGCATGTTTAAGAGGAGTAAATGGTAATGCTAGGTTATTCTGTTCTATCATCTGCAGGAACTTCTTGTAGCTGCCTTCAAAAATGAGTGACATGGAATCGAGCGCTCAGAAGCCTTCAAATGAGGTCGACTCCTTAAAAATTTCCGAATTGGATGTGGGCAGTGATATGTTTAATCCTCTTCGAGCATTATACGAACCCAATTTTAGGGTGACCGATGCAGTTCCAAAGGTCCTCTACCAAAATCTGGCTGCCTTTGAGAGTGCACTGAAAAAGTTTGGAATCTGGCAGCTAAATAAGCGCCAAAAGCCGGGATCTGAAGACGGAGGAGATCAGGGGACATCGAAAAAGGCTTCGAACAGCAGATCTACAGATGTCCTGGCTCCCCAGCGACGCTTTGAGCCGCACCAGATGCCCGTCACCAGCGCAAGAAAGAAGCATCATCGAAATATTTTCACCTACATGAAGGCAGCTGTTGGTCCACTGGAACTCCTAACGAAGAGCATACCCTCTACTAGCCACTTTGAATCCACCGAAACTAAACGAGTGCGGGTGGTGATTCGCAAACACGGATCAGTGGGCGGCAGTGTCGAGGGTGAACTGGTTGCCTTTGACAAGCAGTGGAACCTACTCCTCAGAAAGGCTACCGAAACCTGGAAGCGAAGAAAGTACAATTATGGAGAGCAGAATATATGCGACACACCTGTTGATTGCACCGGCCGCCTCAGGGAGTTGGGTATCACTCTTCCCAGGACTCAAGTCAAAAGTCTGAACCGGAAAAACGTGGAGATTCGGCGAGAACTCCCACAGATTTTAATACGCGGCGAGAATGTTGTTTTAGTTATTTTAATACCGAATCTAGCAAAATAGTGTATAGCTTTATAAGTCACCTCAAAAAAAATTTATTTTTTGGACTGCATTTTCATGGTGCATTTTTTCTTTTATTAAAAAAGCTAGAAAAATAAATTATCATTATCTATAATTAAGTTAAGGTACGATTTATACACAAATATGAATTATGATATATTGCCATGTGAGGTTTGGATGTCTGATAACTATAACTACGTTCTTAATTAACGAATGTCTCCATTTCCTCTGGATCTTCCTCCTCCGATTCTATTTCTGCACTCTGGATGTGAACCAGCTTATGAAGCTTGAGCATCTCCAGCGTCTGGAATCTCCGCCAGCAGAAGTCGCAGGAGAGCGTCCGTGCACTGTCACCGTCGTGATATTTTCGGATGTGGCTTTTTAAGGTGCTATTCTCTCGAAATTGCCGGCTGCAGTGCGGACAACTTAGTGTCGGCTGGTCGTGAGTTCGCCGGTGAACGGCCAATGCGGAGCTAGTCTTCAAGCTATGCCCGCACACCTCGCAGATATAGTTCCTTTGTCCCGTGTGCATTGCCTGGTGCTGTTGGAAGTCCCACTTGGAAGGTGCGTTGTAATCGCATCTGTTGCATTGCCACTCCGGCCGCTTAAAGTGGTACCGTGCCTGGTGCTGTTCTAGCTTGGAGGCGAGTGGAAAGCTCTGGTGGCACACATGACAAACATTAGGATTGGGTCCTCCATGGACACGGAATTTGTGCAGCCGCAGCTGGCGCTCGTTAAGAAAACGGCGGTCGCACTCCTCACAAATGGTCACTGATATGTGGCTTGTGGGCATGAATTTCAGCAAGCTGTTATAGTATTTTGGATAGCGGCAGTGGAAGCCGGAGTTGCTTAACTGCATTACATACTGCCGCTCAAACCAGACTTGCAGAAAACGAGCACTGGCATTGACCACCTGTGGGTCCAACTGAAAGTGAAACCGATGGAACAGTGCCCCTGCCACTTTTTGGGAGTTGTCCATGCGATCTTTTCTATTGATGCCGTGCTCAGTTATCCAGAAAAATTTGTGCTTCCGTAGTAGCTGTATGAAATACTGGATAACCCCGGGGCTGGTGTGCTGCAGGCTGTAAAAGGCTTTGTTGGGTTTGTTAGAGATGTGATCCTGTGGAAAGCAAAGAAAGGAAGTTAAGCAAGTGTGTGTCATAACCAAGGCTGCTTACGTGGTGGCTACTCCTTCCGAACACATCATGACCCTGACCTTCCTCTGGTAAAAATGTTGGTTTTGCCTCCTCTTTACTAAATTCCACTTGAGTGATCGATTCCTGCATCTCCGCCAACTTGGATTCCTGGGCAATGGACGCCCCTAGAAGGTTGGTCATCTCCACCTGAACCTCGTCCTGGATCTCATCCTCATCTACATTAAATCTCTCTTTTTCTCCATGTCTTTCAACCAGATGTCTCATGAATTCCTTCCATTGGTCACCGGCAAAAGTGTCCGCATTGCAAAGGCAGCATTTAATTATAATGGAGGAGTCATTTCTGATATATACGCGAGCACTTTCTACATAATGCTGGTTGTTTGTGGGCTGTGGTGTCATGTCCTTAGTATGTTCATGCAATTTATCCTAAAAAGTACACATTTTATGAATTAATTATCGTTTTAGGTACGATTTATTGTCGACTTCCGATAACTATTTTAATTTAAAAAGGCAAGTGTTGGAAAACTCGACCTACGGCATAGACTTACCGATAGGCACCTGTATGTTGTTATCGAATTCAAATGGCAGACGACACTCGGCCAAAAAACAATTTTGGTTTTCGCTTTGTTTTGCTTGTCTTTTGTGTGTGAACTCAAAGGACAGGCTTTGTTGCGTACGCACAAAAAGTGCACATTGTTGGCCTAACAAAGCGCTAAAAACTTACGCTTTCATTCATTAAAACTGGTACTGTTGCTGCGTTGAGCGTTGCTGCTGCTTTTGGTGCTGCTGTCGGCGCAGTCGCGATCTTGAGCTCAGTCGAAAACACGTTACGCGCCTGTGCAGAGCGTTTTTGCTCTATCCAAACGTTTCCGATCCCATCCGATCCGATCCGATCCGATCCAATACGATCCGATCCAACGCCAGCAGATTCGAAAGTTTTACACCGCGTGCAGCAGAAGCAGCAGCAGCAACAGCAGCAGCAGCAGCAGCAAAAAAGCAACAGCAATAACAATTCGTATGTTTCGTTTGTGTGTTGAAGTTTTAATTTTTTATGCAAAGCAAACGACAGACTTTTCGGCTGGTCAACAATTTCTATTTTAATTGGCAGCAGCGCCCAGCAATTTACCATAAGCGAATGGAAAGCTAACAAAAGTCACCGACTCCGTTTTATTGTGCATAATCAAGCCAATCAATGTGTTTTCTTTCATCCACATTATTTGCCATTTTTGCCATTCGCGATTAGCCCCTCGATCACGCAGTGGCCAGAATTTGGGTTCTTTGCTCGGAGCACCAGCGACCCAATTTGTTAACTATAGCCATTATGGAATAATTGCTAGAAATGAATAAGTTTTTTAACGAACTGCGTGCGCCGCTTTCGTGCGCGTCACTCTTTCCCATTTTCGCTTTCTGCTTTTTCGCACAGTGTACGCAAATTGGCAAGCGCCGTTAATTGGAAATTTTCTTTGTCAAGGTTGCCAATCCGCCAATGCGAATCCCCATCAGAATCCGACTTGGACTGCGACTCCGGCTCAAGTGCACGTCCGTTTGTGTTGGTTGTCAATTAGCGTGTTATTCAACCGCGCTCGCAAATAGATCATTAAAATCAAGCACTCGACGGGGTAATTGTAATTGTAACGATGTGCAAACACCGCCTGGGCATCTGGCAGTGGAGATATGGAGACATTGAGACTTGGGCTTGGAGTTCTGGTCTGCGGTTGTGCAGTTCTGAATTCTGGTCTCCCAGTAATTAGCACATCGATTGACTGGCCAAAACTGGCTTCCTCCTCTAGGTCGAAAAAACAGGTCTACTCTGGGGGATATCAAAATACATTACATTCTTTAAACACTTGGATAATTAGTCCACGTATAGTTCATGCTTATCGTGGGTGAATAATATGATCTCTTTTGTGATAAAGCCGTCTTATGGGCTATAAATTTGATAGCTAGCCCTTATTACTCTGAAGTTAGACACGTTGTTAGGCACATATTTGGTTTGTTTATATTTAAGATGCACAAACATGATTTGCCAACTGTTAGAACCACATAGGGATACATTTTGAAGACTCCAACATCTTCAGCCACTGAGATGGTCGTGGATAGTTATCCAGTTCCCGAATCGATGACCCATATCTGCTGTATTTTTTCTCTGTGCCGAGTTACCAGTTTTCCAGGCCTTATGATGACCGGGCAGCATGTATGTATATGGGGCATTCATTCCGTTTTGGGGCCAGGCCACTCCCCGCCGGCACAGGTTAAACAGCTTTTCCCCCTCCACTCGCTGCGATTGTGTTCGGTTCGGCTTGGTACGGCTCGGATTCGGATTCGAGTCCACTCTATCCCATCCCGCCGCCACTCCCCCGGGATTTTCACGGCCGCCCGGGGGAAATGGGTCGGTGGTATCCGTGCCTTTGTGCGGAAGCGCTCGCATTATAGCACCCACACCCAAACCCAAAGTCACAGTCTGGGCCACAGAAATGTAATCGTGTAAATGGCAAATACACTTTGATCCCGCTATCAGCAAAATAATCAAACAGCACTAGCTCGTTAAATTCGGCGTTGAAAGTATGTAGTTATCACGCCGATATGGTTTCGTGTGTTCATTTCTTTGTATGTTTATGCCACCTTCAATTCAGGAAGCCCCAAATATGTGCAAAATCAAAGATCGGGTTTTAATATCAAAAGGAAAGTACCAATAGAAGCTAAGTCGAATTAAAAGTCCCCCAACTAATGACTTTTTTATTTACTGACGCACTTGAGAATAGCCTTTGGAAAACACTGAAAGTCACGTAATAATCATTCAGCATGAGATTAGATATTTACAAATTTCTAAATTTATGTCAGTTATTGCTGCAATTTGACAAGCATTTTTCCAAATCATTAACTTTTACTATATTTATTTAGGTATCAGTTTATGGAGAGAATTGCCAAAAATTACTCTTGACAATTGCAATTGTAAAAATAGCAATTTATAAGAATTCTACAAATGGTTCTTATCTATATTGACAACCTTTATAACTAGACTGAAGACATTGCAAAGAATTATTGAATCAATGATACAATATGGATGTTATTTTTGATGACAGTGGGTAGACTACATAGAACTTTTTATTCTTTTTCGAAAGCAAATGAAAATAATAAGTTTCGCTACGCAAATAACCACAGACAACAGTATGCAGAATATAAAATAACCTACCATTGGTTACTTACACAAGTTACAACATTGTAAGATATGAGTTATTCATAGGTAAAAATATTAATGGGATTAAATTCCATTAAATATGGCAGTCAACTTTGCAATATTTTCGTTAACATGCAGTTCGAAAGCCACTCGAAAATCGCTCGTTTGTGGGGACCCATAATAACTTTTCTATAAATAAGCCGTAATAGCCGCTGTCGTACAGTAATCTTCTACTTATTGAATAACCGAGTAAATAAAGTGAATAGGTGCCTGGCTAAAGCAATTGTCCCGCAAAGCTGACCCATTGGGCTGAGTATTGCAAATAAGCAATACGGGTGAGTCAACGGCGAGTTGTTCCCGTTTGCCGAGCAAATAAACAGATAATCGGGATCTTACCGCATTCACGATCAGCCGATCATGCGACCGCAGCACGTGTAAACTACGTAAATATTCACGGGCGCAATTAATGCCACCAGCTAGTTGGATTTTCTGCCATGTCGCCCGTCGGAAGTGTCCACTTTTGGCACTTTGGGGCGCCAAATGCTCCACAGTCCAGTGGATTGGTGCACAATCTGCCAGCAATTAAGTAATGTACACACATCACCTTCATTTTCCGGCCGGCGCTATTCCGTGGTGGGCCGTTATGGCGCGCACCTTTCACGCAGGTCGCCTCCAGGTCATTTTGCTGTGGGCCACGGGGCTATTAACGCTTTCCAGGCGAATACGAATATCTGGCATTCGGAATTCGTATTTACTTTGCCAGCCATATAACTATTTGTGTGCCAGCTACATGCGCACGAGCAGAGCGATAACCGCCGACGAGCGACCACGATGTTGCGACTCCAGGCGTTCGAAGTTGCTCGTTCAGGTTTCTGTTTTCAGTGTTCAGTGTTCAGCGTTCAGCGTTCAGCGTTCAGTTTTCAGCGTTCAGTTTTCAGCATTCAGTATTCAGTTACGTTTTGGCGTTTTACGGTAACGCAGCGGACAGTTAGCCTCCAATTATAGGTGCGTCCATATCTCCCCGACATTCCAGCGTGTGAGTGTGTGCCAAAATAAAAAGCTGCAAACGTGTAAATATCGCCTGAGCGTCTTACGATCGCTCATACGCCGCGTTGGCCGCCGCAAAGAAAAAATAATAAAAGCCGCTTACGCCCAACGTTCGTGACTTTGACATTTGTGGCCGCTGGCCGCTGGCCGCTAAATTGGCCATCTATATCGAATTGTCGCGCATCTGAAACACGTTCTACATACCGTGTACACCCGTACACACAATACACGCGCCCTAATCGAGGGGACTCTTGCCCCCCACTCATGCACCACCTGCTTTCACGGCACAACCAGCGCCTCATAACCATAAATCCCATAAAATGTGTATGAAAATATTTACAACTAATTATGCGGCCAGGCGGCAAAACACTCTCCGCCACAGATCCATTGAGGTGCCTTGAACTCGGGCTTGGGCTCCGACTTTGGTTTCTTATGGTTCATGCCAACCGATTTCACTTTCTTTTCGCGCTCTCTAGGGCCGTTAATCACATGATTGGGTAATACTCCAAGTGCCCAGCTCCCCTGTGCCCACTGCCCAGTTGCCAAATCGCCAGTGCAGCCTTATCGCTCGGATTATGCTGGCCCGCTTATCAGCCCTATTTTGGCATTGTCTTTGATAAGATTACCGCTCCGACCGACTCCCTTTCTACTGATGTTTATGTGCCCGCGGAGCCGCAGCTCTTGGCCAAGTCAGCCCGCATCACGAGATGTTCCCAAGAGATGTAAACAGCTTGCAATTGTTGTACTCGTCTCCAGTTCACACAGTGCTGACCGAGTTTGTCTGCAGCCAAAACCCGCTCCACAGGGCCCCAGATCGGATGGGGGGTTCGGGAGGGGGCCGGGAATCTAATCTGATCCACCGAGTGATAGACGCACCCAGCTCACGCAGGTCCAAGTCGAATTTGTAAGGCACACACTCTTTTGTGGCCCCTGGTTTTATCTAAGCGTCTCAATTCACACCCTGAATGCGAGCAGACTCAAAGAGTTCGGGTGAAATGGCATAGGAAAGTGGCCATTCCCTCGCATTGTCGGGAATTTCTTAATATCTTGCTCAGCGCCTGATTTGCTCTGGGCTGAACAAAAGATATTTCATGGTATTCAAACACTTTCGAAAAAGAAAACATTTCTATATAGCTAATTTTCATGGTAATCGTGGCTTCGTTGTTCGTCGACAGCAAAAATGATCGAATGCAGGAACCACTTGTGAGTAATTAATTCTTATTCAAGAGTTTGATTCAAGGCTTCCAGTATGTTTTTAAACTTTGTGCGACAAAAGTTATATATATCAGTATATATACGATTAGCTTGTTGGCAGTTCAAGTGTTTATGATATTGGCCGGCAAGGGTACTCCACCTGATTCCACTCTCGTTCACCTTATGCAAATTGGTAACGAAAATAGCCAGCAGTGCACTTCATGCCGCCGTACACAGCAGCTATTCCAAGGCCAATTGCTCGATTGCCGGCTAGCCAAGTGGCAAAACAAAACTCAAACGGCAAAATATTGCTATTGGGAATTGTGGGCCAGCGATCTGTGGCCAGAGTTTCATCCCAGTTGTGCGCTCCCACTCAGAAACAAAATAACAGAGACGAATAAAAAATACTCGTTTGGCAGCAAGCCGGGTGGCGGAGTTGAAACACTCGAAAATCCGAGACTCGGATACAAATTCGTTTTCGTTTCGCTTTTATCAGTGCCAGACATTGTTTTACTGTTTGTCATGGGGGAAAATTGTAATAAACTCTTTGCTGGGCAGTTTGGCTGAAGCGTGATTAAGTGACTGTGTCACTTATAAAATTGGGCCTCAATAGCAGAATTTGCAGATAATCTTCAAAGATTACGGCTCGCTTTAGGCCTATAAATATTTCAGGAAACGACGGGTTTACGAGATTTCCCCCAAAGTATCGCTATTCTAGCCCTGCTTAGTCAGCACTTGCCATAGCGATGAAAAGTATGACTTATCGTTATTTTCCAAAGCTCGTTTCTCAAAAATAACTAGATATTCATCGCGATTCAACTGCACACTGAGTAATCAGAATCGCTTCGGAGAGCTGACAATCGAATGCGTCTGGAATTTACGAGTGGCATGCAGGTCCATAAAGTGCAGCTCTTAATTCAATTAGCCCGCCGAAGGGCGACGGAAAATGCAAATGCAAATCGAACTGGGAAATGGACTGGCAATGAAAGTGCTCCGTATTCCCATCAGTTTCGATCGCAAGGTGTACGTGCGCTGGTCAACTGATGGGTTCGGCATGGACACCAGTGTCACATGGACTTGATCGATCTGGTCCGCCGGACAATTAGGTTTCCCGCCCAGCGCCAGTCCATTGACTTGGACAAGCCCCGGGTACTCAGTGTGTGCCATCGATCTAATTGATATTTAAGCAAGTTTAGCTCTATCAGCAATCAGCCGGTGTTTGTTTGGGGCCTTACAATGGGGCCCTGGAATGCTCACTGCCACTGCCAATGGCTGGTGTTGCGTAATTACGCATACGCCATGTGAGCCGATTGCAAGCTGCGTGCTTGCGAGAGTGAGTTGGCAGAACGGAGCGCTTTAATCAACCGGATTGGCCAGCGATTTGTATTAGTTTCCTTCCCAGTTGATTGATAAGCAGCTTAGTAAGTTCGCCCGGCTGCATTATCGAGTTTTAAGCAATTGCCCAGACTTATGACGCATCTCTTTTCTTGCAGCGCAACTTAATCAAGCATTGATAAAATAGCTCATTTGAGGTCAAGGGTTAGCGTCTAGCTTAAGTGCTAGCAGTGAAATGTTAAGCGCCCTGCGATAAGATATTATGCCGCTACTAACCCCAAGTCACTTTCAGCTAATCAAACAAAATTGCTGCAATTAGCCGCAGGCTATTCGCTTTTCATTTTATTCGAAGCTCTCTTCTCTTTCACCTCGAATGATTATGGCTGCAAATTTGCATGATTGAATGCGAATGATTTAATTTTCGCGCTCCCAAATGTTTTATTAATGGGCTTTGTCCTCTTCTGTTTCTGTTTTTTTACCCCGTTAGAGTGAACGACGGAAACGGAAAGTAAAAGCCACGATCGCGACCACATTCAAAGGCAGACAAACATGGCCGAGACAATCAACAACAAGCCGAGCATACAGATCCGGAGCGGACTGCCCTCGCCGCTGCCGGACAAGAGTCCCTCGCCGGCCACCAAGCTGCTGATCAGCCACGGCAAGCCCAACTTCACCATCGCCAAGTCGCCGAAGGTCGATGAGAACGGAAACGGAAACCCACTGTCCGCCCAGGCCAGCGCCAACAACAACTACAACGCCTACAAGAGCGCCAACAGCAGCGTGGCCAACAACCAGAAGTTCATCGTGGGCACCAAGTTCAACGGAGTCTTCAAGCCCTCCAGTGCGGCGGCCACTTGGGCCGCCAATGGGCATGCCAATGGCAATGGCGCCTCGGAGACGGAGAATGAGGTGGCCAAGGTCGTTCTGCGGCGCCCCAAGCTGGCGGACTCGCCCCCACCCGCCGACGGCGAGGACGAGAATGTGCCGGAATTCATCAGGCGCCAGCGACGCATCCAGGAGCGTCTGGCCAAGGAGAACGTGCTGGACTTCGAGAGCCGGCGCAGCGGTTACTTCACGCACGTAATGATCTCGCCGGACTCGCCCAATCGCACCTCATTCGTGGAGACCATGGCCAGTCCGGCCATAGTGCCCGCCCTCGAGATTCCCGCTCCAGTGGCCGAGAAGGCGGAGGTGGTGGAGGAGGAGGAGCAGGAGGAGTCGGTGGCCCAGCCTCAGGTGGCCGCTGTTCCCACCTCAGCCCTGATCACTGAACCCGAACCGGAGGCCGTTGTAAGCAATGGACACAGTGAGGAGCCAAAGAACTCTGACGTGGCGCCCGAGGAGGTGGCCAAGGCCATTGAGCAAGTCAACCAGGCGGTGGCAGGAGAGGATGAGGCGGAGGTGGAAGCCACCCCCGAGCCAGCACCAGAACCCACAGCAGAACCAGCTCCAGAGCCGGTGGCAGCCGAACGCAAGGCAGAGGCCGTGGTAGAGGAGCCCACTCAGGCCCCCGCTCCCGTGGAAGCCAAGGTGGAGGTGGTAGAGCCAGCTACGCCCGTGCAAAATGGCCAGCAGGCAGAGGAGGCTGCTCCAGCCACCAACGGCCAGAAGGAGGAGGAGGCCATCACCATTTCGCACACCAACGGACAGAGCAGCGACGTGCCCAGCATACCCACACCGGATCCCAGTGGCGCCCTGGGAGTCAACTACGAACCCAAGACCGTGGTCAGCTTCTCGCAGGAATTGGGGAGCGGGGAGAACAAGTATCCTGATACCGTGAAGGTGGTCAGCGAGGTGCCCGCCGAATCCAATGGGGAGCTCAACGAACTGACCAAACTGAAGTTCGACATCCAGAGCGACGGGCAAAACGAGGTTCAGGTGACGCCCGTGCTGAGGACGGACTAGGAGGATCAGGATCAGGATCAGGATGAGGAGTAGTGCAATTTGTTTGTTGAACAAGAAACCATCAACTATATTGTGTTGTATTTTGTGTTAGCTGCTAAGTTGATTACGAGAATTGTTGCCAAATTTAATTTTATGCTTCGCGCATCAGTCAGTATCGAGAATGGAGTTGGAGTCGGAGTTGGAGTGCCTAATCCCCCATAGAGCCACCCATGGAGGCCCGGTCCCCAAAGCGTCTTTTCGGGACTTGCTAGACCAAACTACGTGTATTGCAATAGACACCATTTGCTTTATTTAAATAAATTATTAATTATATGGAGCACGCGCCTTTGCCCTGGAATATTCCTCCCGAGCACTGGATGGTCTTCGATAAGGGCACTGCACCACAAGTGGGTGTATTTACTTTCACGTAGAGTACCTTAGCTTGTTCCACAGAGATAACACTATTTTTGTTTGCACCAGAGCCACCAATTGACCGTGGAATGTTGGGGGAATGTGGGGGAATGCTTAAATGGCGCATTGGGTTGGCCTATTGTGAAGTCACCGCTGGATTCATGGGAATTAGCACGTACCCTGCAAGTCCCTAAGATATGTTTACAATTAGTTGGAGTAAAGCTCCCTAAGTCGGCAGTCGAGCGCCCCGAAAATGTTAAGACCACGAGCTGAGGAGTCATGGTTTCCAGTCAAGGTGAATGGAAACCGAAAGTGTTTGCCAATGTCTAGCACTGAATCCCGTGCGGTAACCTTCGCATCGACATGCTCCAGTCGCAATCAGTCGCCCTCCGTGATTAATTGCTTTGATTCCGCTGGTTTGAGCGAGTGCGATAGTCTGTGATTGATTGGGAGACCCGAAGCATAATAAACTAATAACGAGTGGAGTGGGACCGCAGTGGTGAATCATGATGAGGACGCGACACCTGTTCCGGCGATCGAGGGTGGGTCAGGTGGTTCGGGTGCTCACCGGTAAGGTAACCATGTCAACTCCGACCCGCCTGTTTTTCGAGGGTTGCAGTGCTGACCAACATCTGGCCTGCTCCTGACCCTCGTGGCCAGCACATGCGTTTAATCGATATGAAAGTGGTGGCGGTTTTGCGCGTCGGCCAAACCAAACCGGAGTTAGTCCGTTTGGAAAACCAGTAGGCTATGGCAGGACATTCAGTTCGAAAGCAATCTAGATGAGTGCTTAATTCTAAGCTATTATGGATCTATGTCTTAAGGGCTCGCAGGTACGTTCATACTATACGAGTATATTCCACTGCTTGTGGCCCATGTACTAAGAGAGGTCAACCGCAGATAAACCTCGCCACACGCCAAAAAACGAAGCCCAAGTACACAAGTCGCTCGCTGACGACTCTCCACAGTCCGTGTCCCCATTTCCGGCCTCGCTCGGCCAACTTCCTGCAGCAGCGCAGTCGCTCCTCGCCTTTCCTGGGACGACCTCAGTCGGCGGACCCCAAGTTCGGTCGTCGGCTGAGCACCTATTTTGGTGAGAAGGAGCTGCGCATCGGCGGAAAGGTGAGTGGGCCAAAGCAGCCTGCCGGACTGCCTGCAATCGGTGTTGTAATACGTAATCCTTTCAGCGACAAGTCTCGTCGAACGACCTGCTTAAATCCCTGCTGGAGGAGCCCATCAAGCGCAGCTGGCTCTGTCGCAGCACCTGCAACTCCTCCGAGTCCGACTACTCGCTCCACAAACGCACACCCGACAGCAGCGAGGAGGGGGAGCAGTTCCTGGTGACCATGTCAGGTGGCGAGAAGGGTAAATCCTACTCCTCCTACTCCGGAACTCAGGGCCTCAGCAGCGGGGCTCTTCTGCAGCGCACCGCCAAGCCAGATCTTCCGGGAAGGGTGTCCTTCAGCAAGCCGAATATGCACGCGGACTTGGACTCCAGTGACTGCGACAATGACAAGCAGGAAGTGCGGCCCAGTATCTCAGCCCCGGGTCCGCTAACACTTCCCAGTTTCCTGAGTAAAGTGGAGCAGGCTGATTCCGTTGGTCAGAAGAAGTCCGTGCACTTCGGATCCACGGCCGCCGAGGGCGAGGTTCTGGCGGAGACGTACGAGTACCCAAAGTGTCCTTCGGAGAACTGTACGTGCAGCACGCGATCCTCTTCCACCACAAGCACCAATGAGGCGTCGGCATCGGACGCTAAGTGTGCCTGCGATGCGCCTAGCTGCCGGTTTGTGGAGTCCTCCAAGCTGGTGGAGCAGCCCAATCCCACAGCCACTCTCCCAAAGGCCCCCGCATCGGAGCTAGATGTTATACGCGAGTATAAACAGGCTGTGGAGGGCGTGCAGGTGGTCAAGAACCACCTGGGAACTGACACCCTGAACAACATCGAGATGCTACCCAACTATCTGGACAAGTACGCTTCTCCCTCTAAGGAGAAGCAGAACAATCTGTCCGAGTCCAAGAATATGGCCACCAGTACTTCCTCTGCCAAGAATGGTGCCCCCTCCTACAGATCAGTTGCCAACCCAAGGAACTTCGGGGCCGAGAACAATTTTCTGCCAGCGGTGCAGGATGATAGGAGATCCTTTGGGAATGGCAGCTCCGACGCTGTCATTAATAACTACCTAAAGGTGGCCTCGACACCCCCTTTTGTGGCTAAGAAAAAGGAGAACGTGAAGCCCGCCAGTGCAGATCCCATTGCCAGGAGCACCAAGGCCAAGGTGACCAAGTCCGCAACCAATCCAGCTCCTTTGGGTAAGCTGAAGAAGGCCATCAGTGTGGGCAGCCTACGGGAGGAGCGGAAACTCTCGGAGTACAATCTCGACAAGGTGGACAGCTGGATGAGCATGCAGGACCAGAAGCAATTCGACAACAAGCACAAGCAGGGACTGGAAGACCTGGACGAGGCACAGGACAATGATACCGCCTCCCAATTGTCCCTGAAGTCGAATGAGGACTCCAGAGATTCCACCTATGATGAAATAGTATCTGTCATCAAGGAAATCGAGGAGGACAAGAAAAGGGGTAAGTTAGCGGCATGGAGCTACAACGGAGCGTTCTGCATCTCTGATTTCCTTGGCAGACAACTTTTCCGAGCGAATTCCCAGCGAACTGAACCTGAAACTAGATTCCCGCTGTGAGACCGCCGACACAGGCACTGTGAGCGAGGGAGCAGTTCCCGAAAGTGGAGATAAGTACAAGTAAATTTGAATTTCCATGTAATACTCCCGAATCCATCCAGTAATACTCCCTTCCACATCTTAACAGGGACATCCTGGCCTACCTGAACAATGTGGAGAGCAGTTGCGACAAGACGCTGATGGAGACACGACGTTCCATACCGGATAGCAATCGATCGGAGGTGGAGTTCGTGGTGGAGCCTGATGTCACCGACGAGGTGCCCAAGTGGGTGAAGTCTCTTGGTTTCCCTAGAAGCTCATAACTAACTGCCCCTTCCATCCAGGCTATCTGAGTTGCTGATGCTGCCCAATCACCAGCTTGCCAGAAGGGTCATTGCCCTGAGCTTGCGGGCCAATGAGTTGGCCAATGCCATCCATATGTCCAAGGAGCACGTCTTCCAGCTGCGTGGCGAAAAGCAGAAGAGCCTGCGGGCCGAAAAGTCCACCGCTGCCGCCAAGCTGCGGGATCAGAAGAAGCACTATGAGGAGGTGGTTACCCGGCACCAGGGATTCATCGAGCAGCTGCTCAAGGACAAGGGCTCCCTCTGCGAGAAGGTGGCGGCCCTCACGCGGCGCTTGGAGAGCCAGAACCAGGCCTGGGAGCACCGGTTGGAAACTGAGCTGGCCAGGACCAAGGAGACCACTATGGCGGGTGAAAAGATCCGGCGGGAGCGATGGGTGCGCGAGAACACCAAGAAGATTAAGGTGCGGTAAAGAAATTCACTATAGAAGAAATTTACTACAGCATTAAGAATCACGATTGTGTTAGCCTTCAATGGCTTAGGAATATTCCACCATTGGATCAGTAATTAGTATCATAGTTTCTTCAAGAAGATTAGGAGTTTTACGCTATGTAAAATTATGTCAATAATCAGCAATTTACTTTTTGCCAAAGGAACTTACGGTGAAAGGCCTGGAGGCGGAGATCAACAAGATGAACTGCGACCACCAACGCGAGGTGACCGAGCTAAAGCGCACCCACCAGATGCAGTTGCTGGACGCCTTGGAGGAGGCGCGCACAAAACACGAGCAGATCGAGACTATCATTCGTGAGAGCTGCGCCCAAGATCGTGAGGCCATTATCGAGAAGGAGCGGACTGCCATCCGGGAGCGCTTCGAGCGCCAACTGGAGGAGGAGCAGAGGACGCAGGCGGAGCAGCGCCAGAAACTGAGCGAGGAGTATGCCGCGGAGCGCGAGCGCCTGCAGCAGGAATTACGGCAGCGGGAGAATGACCACCAAGCCAGAAGGCAGGAGGCTCTGCGGGAACAGGAGCAGGAGCTGGAGCAGGCCAAGTTCGAAATGCAGGAACGGATGGCCAAGCAGGAGGAGAAGTATCAGAACCGCATCAACACCATCGAGCAGCAGTACCAGGCGGACTTTGAGCTGTGGAAGACCGAGCACGAAAACAAAACCAAGTTGGCCCAGGCGGAGAAGGAGAACGCCATAAGGCAACACTACCGGGCGGAGAGAGATCGCCAGCTAGACGAACTGGTGGTGCGCATGGAGGCCGACGCACTGCAGCACAGTGGGGAGCACGAGCTAAAGATGAAGTAAGTATATATGCAGGTTAAAATGGAATGAGCCCTTCTAACACGGATCTTTACAGTCGCCTCAAGGAGAAGTACGAGAAGGATTTGGTTCTGGCCGAAAGCGTGGAGAAGTCGCTGCGGGAGAAGTACGCGGAGACCCGCGGCAAACTGGCGGAGGCGGATGCCCAGGTGCGGAACAGCCAGGCGGAGGTGACGCAGCTGCAGCTGGAGCTGAGCCACAGCAAGAAGATGTGCGGAGACATCATCATGGAGCGGGACCGACTGCGGGATAACCTCAACGCGGACATCCAAAACGAGTTGGGAGTGCTCAACGAACGCCACAAGCAGGAGATGGAGCAGCTTCAGAAGCGCGTTCACCAGACCATCCAGCGACAGGAGGAGACCATTGAGATCCTGAAAGGCGACAACGATGGCCTCAGACAGCAGTGTTTGAAGCTTAACGCTGTCATACGACAGCAGCGCAAGGACTACTGCGTTAAATAGACCGTTAATCGAATTCGGTTTATGGGACCTCCAAGCAAAATAATATTAGGAAATGCGATTTCGTAGAATATAAAAATCTAAGATACTTATAAAAAGATATTTTACCATTTAAACATGGATTTAAATAATTGTAACGGCTATTTTGAGCTCCCCAAGAAATCGATAGGCGTGCCATAAATGATCGATTTCTCTCACAGCGATGTGGTATTTTTGGCTGCAAAAGCTGAGGCAACACTGCGCGCGGGTCAGCAAAAATAATAGAGGTTCATTTTGAATGTTTTTATATTAAACGCGCAAAATGGAAGATCCGCGGGAAAGGAGAACATTTACCAATATCAGCAATAGTTTTGGCTTTGTTTGCAGGGTACGTAACTACACATTAAATGGATTCATTTAATCGCAGTCCTATACGTAGATCATAGAAAAGCAATGCGGAATACAGCAACTCGGATCTCTTGAAAAATACGAATTTGTGGAGCTCCTGAAGATTCTGAATGGCACAGAAAAGGTGAGTGGATTCCAAGAGAGTCAATAGTTACTAATAACACCGTTTATGTGCAGTTTCTGGCCTCGAAGTTCTTCTGCCAACTGCCAGCGAATGTGGGCAGTTTTCGAGTGCTTCGCCAGCTCCAGGAACTCAGAATCCTGACGGCCACACAATACATCTTTAGGTGGGTTAGAAACTACTAGATGAGCGGCACCCCCATTTATCCTCAACTGAATTCACAGCAAGGAGCACTCCGATCAACTGCAGGTGGACTTGATCATATTCCTGGAATCCGAGTTCGAACTCCTCGCAAATGTCTTCATTTCAGCGGCTTGTGGTTGTTTTTCTGTCTTTTGACCGTGACTGTTTTCCCTTTTTAAATGATTTATACACCCTCAGATGCCGACTCTGCGATGATGCTTACCCTAATACTGACAACCGCTTTGGGGAATCTCTATACCGGCCTTGTTGGTAATCCCAAAATCTGCAATTTGGGATATGTTGAGTTCTTGAGCAAAACCCTGCCAGGTATTTTCTTTTTTTTTTACTTACTGCATTGCTTTAAATGTAACTAAACTAGAACCCCTTTAGATGAAGCGCTAAATGTTTGTATGAACATGCATTTAAGCACTCTATTGGACCTTCACCGATCGGAAAATGTGGACGAGGCATTCGCCAGCTTCAGCGCCTGGATAAATGAGGGCGTCGATGAACTAACCTTTGTAAAGCACCTTTGCGATAAGGTTATATGTTCATAAAACGGACTACGTATCTTGTCTTAACTGAATCTCAATTGCAGCTGTTTGTTGGCCATCACCAGGCAGCCCTTCAATACCTATTCAAACAGTCAAACACGGACAACTTTAACCAGTGGAAGTTCTACCTGATACTGGTGCAATCCATCGCAAGTGCAGCCGATCCTGAAACCACCACATACATTAAAAGTATATATTGCATCCTGTAGTCTAAAGTCTGAAGCCTAGGCAACGTTTCCCGTTCCTTGCAGAGTATCTGAAAAACAGACTTCTGCAAACTGCATCCACGGCTTGCATTGGATCCTTGCTCCATTTGCTGCTGACTGCCAGAGCTGCATCTGCCTCAACCATGAATGTGCAGATTAATCTGGACAACTATGCGAAGTGGTACAAGCAGAACATTGGTGAAATGACGTACATATTGGGCACGGAAAAGTTTCAGACAATCCTGAGGCTCTTGGAGGAGTCTTTAACCTACGAAAAGGAGTTGCAATACCTAGAGGTGATATAGAATATAAACAATTTAATGGAACTATACTTATTGATTACTTTCCCCCAGATTCATGTGTCAATCGCCATTTCACCTGGTGGTCGTCTGGTTCAGGCCTACAAAACTAAGTGCAGGGCTCATGCAGCTCAACTTAAATCGGCAGCAAAGCGAAAGGCTTCCACAGACTAAATGCAAGGTGATATTATTATTAATTCTCAGGAAGGTCCGAATTATCTTTGATTCTTCACCGAATATCTTTGATTTAAAACCGCACTGAGCACTAAGCTGCAACTTATTAAAATAATGTAAGCTCTCTGTGCAAACACAATTTATTTATTTGCCTGCAGTAAACTATAAGTTAGTAGGCCACAATATCTCTTTGCTCTTCGGTTATAACACACTTGGACTGTTCATGTTTAAAGGTAACTCCGTCGCATTCTTCAGTTTTAGTGCAGATAAATCTTCTGCGATCGTCACAGTTTGCTGACTCAAATTTGAAAAAGTCGTACTGTTCTTTAACAAAAACGCATCCTTCATTGTTCACTAGCTTCGAATTGTGTGGGGCGTACTCAATGGACTTGTTGTTTGAAACGTATCTGAAGTTGGGCTTCTCATATGCATTTAGTCCAAACCAGTACTCATGTTCGTCGGGCCCAATTTTACTTTTCATCTGGATCAGGGTAATTTCGGTGTCCAGATTGGCCAAGCACATGTGGAGCTTTTTGCAGATGGCCAGGGCATGAAACCAAGTAGCCTATGGTGTTGCAGTTTTCAGTGGCTGCTAAGCCTGAGGACTTTAGTTAAGTGTACTTACTGTTTTCTCACTGACATACAGGCATATACCCTTGCCATTTGCCTCATCAGTACGCAAAAGCAGCAGCAAAATGGGAAGACAGCAAAGTATCCGTGGTACCTGACTCATTGTGTTCGGTTTGGTGTATTCAGTAGTACTGAGGAATATCGAAGGTGGCTTATTCGGTATAGATCACTAATGTTATTATACCATGGCGCAATCAAATAAGGTCAGAAGTAAATTCCTTTTCTTTATTATTTTACTTACCTATGCATATGTATGTACCACATGACGGAATGAATTGCAAATCTACGAATTATTTAGTTCGATTCGCCACTAATTAATTAATTAGCACAATTTTTTGTTACAAAGTTACAACAGTTTTTTTTTGAAAAGTTTCGAGTACTGAAAATGTGTGATAAATAGATCGTTTGAAACAAGCGCACTCCGACTATCGGTTTTCGAAATAGGGCGCCATCTAGCCACCAAGTGTCTAACCACATTTGGTCGGTGTGGCAGCGCTGGCCGAACAGGTTCCACACCCAAAGGCAGAACAACAACGTTTCCAAACTCAAACACACGGAATAGAAAAAGATACAACAAAAGCAGCGGGTTCTGTGAGTTCAGGTCTCGGCGGCTGCTTTCGCCTCGACTTTATACGTTTCTGTGCTCTCGACGCAGTCGGACGTTTAAAAATAAACGCGCTCCACCAAAAAAACCAAATCCGCTGGCCACAAATAAATCTGAAGAAATTCGAATTCCATCCGATCAAACGCAGAACGCAGAACCCGAAAGTCAGTTCTTCGACTCTAACGGCCGAGAAAATCCGAAAGTTTCAGAATGTTCAGCTCGATTTCAGGTAAAAACAAAGCCAAGCCAGCCGACGTTGGTGTGAAAGTTTCGAAATTAGAAATCTTAGGTCTAAGCATACGTATACCTACCTATGTATCTCAGATACATTCAGCTACTCGGATGATATATGTGCAGTGAGTGGGTTAATCGCGGTTGGCATACGACCGCAGAGGAGGAGGGCCGTCCCTGGACTCCAGTTCCAGTTACATCATCACCAGAGCGGCCGGGAGTCGGGCAGTTGGAGCTGCTGGCCCACCCGGGACTGGGATCAGCGGACGGGTGGGGTTGGCCAAACCGGGCGTGTTCGATCCGATACGGGTCGCAGTAGCAAAAACCTAATTATCCGCTACCGCGGCTCTGGTGATGGTGACGACGACGTGGATGATACGTAAGCCAATTATGGCGCAGTTATATGTAGCTCCAAATGGACTACGAGTTGCCGTTCTCGCTGGCACATCCCACACCCAAAATGATGATACGTATATAATTATAGCTGCCCAGATACACACTACACCACACGTATCTGAGGCATACATATATGTGTATACTTTGTATCTTCGAGTGGTTATGCTGCTGTTGTTTCCTTGGGGCTCTGGCACACTTATGTGCTTGGAAGTGGGTGCAAAAGCCCAGAGTTCCATCGACCATCATCCAGCTCCGCCTCCGATCTCTGAAATCCTCCGGCCATAGATGCCACTTGAGCACCGCATGGTCAAGCATTGGCACTTGAGATAGGCATTTTTTCTATCAAACGACTGTATGTAAATTCTATTCATACTTATTAATATTATCTGTTCCCACTCAATGCCAAACAGATGCATCGAAATGTAAGTAACCCCAAATGCTGAACTTTCCACTCAATTGCCTTGATAATGTTACTCAGTCCTAGACATTCCGCGCCGACTGCGTAGTTCAACATTTAGTAGCTGCAAATTTTCATATTCAGCACTTTGATCTTCTATGTTTAGCATGCATTGGAACTATCAGCCATTCCATTAGAAATTATGCGAAGCCAGTTTGGGTATGGCGTTTTTTGTACTCTAAGTTTTTGATTTCTGCTTAAAAAATTGAAATTAAGAACTCACTGGGGAGACGTTTCTTAAGAACGACTGTATATTGTTATAGTTTTTATTACAGGAACAAGCCATTTTTGTTTTAAATCATTTTCATGATTGGCCTTGGGCTATTATTTGTAATGACTCCAACGGATTGAAACCCAAGGGATCTTCATATTGTTAAAACTCAAATTTATTTGCTGCATGCTCAAACATTCCTCGATTCGCTAGATGTCCATTGGTCCGCCCGGTTGGTGGGTCAGTGCGTTCAGGCCGCCGGCGCAGGTGTTGCTCCGCCTTCGGGTGCAGGAGTGGCGGCCTCGGCGGCTGGAGCTCCTTCCGCTGGTGCAGCTGCCGCCGGCGTGGCGCCTTCCGCAGCCGCCGCATTCGGAGCGGGCGTGGCTGCTCCAGTGGCTTCGGCCGCCGCGGGTGCACCCGTGCCTCCGCCTGGCGGCACCGTTTGGCCCTCCGCGGCATTGGTTGCCCCGGCGTTTCCCATGCCGTTCTCGAACACCGGCTCCGTGGTGCCACCACCAGCACCTGCAGTCGTCTCGCCCTCCGGGTTTTTCTCCTCCGAGACCCCGATTTCCGTTGAATTCGAATTGTCAGCTGGCCGTGAATCGCTCTCCACACTTTGCTCTTTGATCCCCTCCTCATTTTTCTCCTTCTTGCCCGCATCGTGGTGGAAGTGGTGCAAGTGCTCGTGGCTGTGCTTCTGACCCTCCCCGGTGTCCTCCGTGGGAACAGCGCACTTGAGCTGGTTCTGCTGGCAGATGAAGTACTTCTTCTCCTGGCAGTTCACGTCCAGGACGACGGTCTTGTTGGGCCGCACTCTGATCTCCAGGCAGTCGTCCAGGTTGGAGCGTTGCGTCGGCTCCACTATGGGGGATTCGCCCATGTAGCGCACCAGTTTCCCGCTGCTGATGTACTTGAAGCGGCCCTCCGACTGCAGATCATTGCCGCCGAACCAGATGTCGTCGAAGCCCACCTGCGACGTTATGTAGTGGACCACCGCATTGAAGTCCTCCACCGTGGACACGTCGGCCAGGTTGAGGCCCTTGCGCAGGCAGTTGTTCTGGGCGCCGAACCAGTTGATCTGCCAATATATTTGAAGCGATTTTGGGAAGCGTTATTTTGGGACTCTGTGGGAGGGCTTATTCGTATCTATGACAACTTGATTGGTACCGCAATGGCTCTCCCACCTTCTTGGTGCCCATGTAGAAGCACTTTCCGTTTAGCTCCCTGAGATACGGCTTATCACAAGGACCCTTGTCCTTGGCTTTCTTGCTCTGCCTCTTGCCGCAGCCCGAATGGACCGCCATCAAGGTGAGAATCACGACTGGTAGGATCCTCATGGCTGCCAGCAAAACTGAGCCACCTGTCCAGCCAAACTGTAAGCATGCGTGCCGCCCCCTGTTCTATATATACCCTTTCGTGGGCGTGGCATCTGCATTACCGAGGAGTGACCAATTGCCATTAGGGCCACGAGTGGGTTCGCACAGCATTCTTATCGGCTGATGGAGTCCATCAAATTGATTAATATCAATTAGTCACGTTGATGCCCAAGTGCTGTTGCTGCTGTCGCTGGATTCCCAATCACCATCAGTATCGAAACTATGCTGGCACTCGTCCGACTTCCAAGTCGGATGAAGAAGTTCACGGATTCACTGACATCTTGGAAGGGTTCAATAATTGAAGCAATGTATTGCAATTAAAGTTGTTTTGGGACTCAATTACTATCCGATTAAGTGGGCAATCGGACCCCCGACTTCAAGTTCTTCCTCATCATTCGGATGAGCCGTAATATTACAACGATTCTATGACTGTTATATAGTATCTGCATCCCTGAAATACTCAATAAATGTAGTATTCGAATACTTAGATATTTAATGAAATGCGCTGTACTAAAACGAACTAAAACTGATACCATCTTCGAAAAACCTAGCACATACAATTTTCGCACATTCCCCTTGATTTATTTGAAAGATGGAACCTTTTTTCGATTTCAATTTATTTAACTTTTTTTTAACTATCCGTAATTTTCCTGATGTACCCAAGCCGAGCTGCCTGAATATGAATACATGAAAATTGCTGGTAATATTTTATTTAATTCATTTATTTTCAATCGATAATAGTTGTGGCATTCAGCTGGGCAAGTTGGGGAGATCAGGCTGCTGGCGGTGCCGGAGTCTCGGCTGCTGCGGCGGCGGGGGCTTCTGCTCCTGGTGCGGGTGCGGGTGTGGCTCCTGCTTCGGCGGCAGGAGTGGCTGCTCCTTCGGCAGCTGGAGCTGCGCCGGCGGGGGCGGCTCCTTCTGCGGCTGGAGAAGCTGCTCCTTCGGCTGCAGCGGCAGGGGCAGGAGTTGCCCCCGGCGCAGCAGTTCCGTCAGCGGGCTTTGAGCCTTCCGCTCCCGGAGTCACCAAGACGCCATTCTGATCCGGTTGATTGTCAGCCGGCACGTCGGGCGCCACGGCTGCATCCTCCGAGTCCGGCTCCGGGTGCTCCACTGAGCCACTGGCGATGGGGTCCTGGCGGTCGTGGTTCTCGTCCTCCTCCTCCACCTCGCCGTCGCCACTTTCGCCAATGTCGTGGTGGAAGTGATGCAAGTGCTCGTGACTGTGGTGCTTCGGCTTCTTGCCGTCGCCCGAGTCCTGGCAATAGCGTTCCGAGCAGATGAAGTACTGCCGCTCGTGACAGTTGTCCGCCGACACCATGTTGATCTCGGAGCGAATCCGCACCTCCAGGCAGTCGTCGCACTCGGAGTGCTCCAGGGGCAGTACATTGCTGTAGTTGCTGTAGTAGCGCACCAGCCGTCCGTTGCTGATGTACTGGAAGCGCCCCTCGTGGTACAGATCGTTGCCCCCGAACCAGAAGTCCTCCGTGTTGCCGAGGCCACTCAGGAACCCAATGGCTCCATCGAAGTCCCGCTGGTTGCTCAGGTCCGCCAGGGTCAGGCCCTTGCGTAGGCAGTTGTTCAGGGCGCCGAACCAGTTCATCTCAATGGGTTAATAATAGATCGCATTATTTCACAGCTCTACACCATATGAGTCCGCACAATCGCAATGGATCTGTAACCAAATCTCACCTTTTTCACCGAGAAGTAGTAGCACTTGCCGTTGATCCTGCGCAGATAGCGACGCGGGCAGGGAGGTCCTGATCCCAGGAGCTCGCCCCGCGGCAGGATGCTCAGCAGGGCCACGAGTGCAGTCAGGAGATGCTTCATTTTGTTCGCTTCCGCCGGTGCACAGTGAGCCGGCTGAAATCGCCTCCTGTACTTATATCCTCCGCTGGCCAGCAGTGCACCCAATCGATTTGGAGCCCGTCGGAGGTGGAGCGGCATCTTCAGCGGCATGGCCAATTCAATTACAAGTCCATGCCGCCGGAATGCCTACGCCAATGTCGTGGGCTAATTTGGTCACCCGCCAGTGGGTCAGGTTTAGGGTCATTCAATTTAATTGGCTATTAGGTACACTTGAAGAAAACGAGCTGCACAACTTGCAGGGGGCACTGTAATTGCCAGTAATGTTAACCCCCTAAGTTCCCCGATTGCTATCCATCGTCGTAATAATGCGCATTTCGCGTGTATATATCATACAACATATTTTAAAGATGTATTTCGAAAGATATACTACTTATTCAGTGCAGAAGCTGGACTCTGCTAAATATAAGGACTGTATACATGGATCTGAGGTATGGAAAAGGCCTCAGAACCATCGGAATAAATCTATATAGATGAATGTATTTTAGATGAACTTCAAATTAATGCTTTGACCCTGATTTGTGCTACTTTAAGCTGTGGCTGCGAAAGTGAGTTAATTGCCAGCTAAGAAATCGGCGGTAATCTTCCCCACCCAAAACGCTTGGCATTGCGTTCTCCGATTCGATCGACTCCAGTGACTTCATAGTCATTAGCATAACCCGCCCGAAGGGCTAGATGTCTGACCCGGCCTTGTTCTTGCCGAGTATTGATTTACCTGGCAGGGTCGTGACATCAGCCAATGGGTTGTCCGTGGCCAGGACACGAAGCGCCCTTCCCTCTGGCCAGCTCCGCGGTTGCCAGCTGACTCAGACGACCTTCGGTCGGATGACGATTGTGCCGGGGGCCAAAACAATTCGTGGGTCGTGTGAGTTTCCTTCTGCCACGCGCGGCTCGCACATATACAATGCTTTCGTACATTATAACTCGATTGTGCAGTTGTATCTCACATGACATCATCAGCAACAGCAGCAACAACAGCGGTCACAGTAGCTCCATCGATTCATCACGGATTGCGGCGCTTTTTAGGCATCCAGAACCCAGAACTGGTGTGGAACGTGAGTCGGCAGACCCCGAATCGCAGTTACTCATAGATATTCGCTTCGTGCCCATGTGTGCGTCCGTTCCGAGCTGGGTTCTCGTGTAGCCCAGCTACAGGTTTTCCTCCATTCCGGGGCATCTGCGCATTATCTGTGCCGCGAGTGCTGCGACATCGGCGAACACAAAATCAGACATCAGAGAACCAAATCCAAAAGCAAACCAAAACAAAACGACGCCAGAGGCTGTGAGAGTCTGGGCTTATTGTGTTGCCTTCTGGCCATGCTTCTAGCCGGTTTTCAGTATTGACCACAAGCAGCACAGTTCTGAATACAGACCAAGAGCAAAATGCGTCGTATTACGCAAATGCCTTGAATAGGGCGTTGGAATTCGGCGTGTGTAAGCCATTAAAATACGTAGTACGTAGTACGCCAAAGGATTTGGCGCGGAATACTAAGCACTAAGTTGCCTTATGCGTTTGGCCACCTTTTTAGTAACTTGTCATTAAGTTTAACAACGCATAATTGCACGAATGTGTTTTGAGTATCTTTTTAATATTCTACGATTTTAATTACGAACACAGCACAGAGCAAACACATAGTTAGTAGTGCATGATTCCTCTCGACACATACATGTAGTTAGTATGAATTCTAGATTGTTGGCAAGTTCAATACCACAAGCATTCCGCAGCCATTAGCATTTGAAACATTTGAGTTCCTTTGATACACCCTGTTATTTCAACACCTCAGCCATAATCCCGATTCCCAGTAATGGCAGAACAGAAACTATTATTTTCGCACAATTTTCGGCCTCCGCGGAGGCGAAACGAAATTGGATGAAACTGAATTATTTCGAAATGAGCCGAATGGAGAGGGCCATTCAAATTCCCTGGGGAGAGCATCGTATCGGACTTAACACATTCCCGATCACAATCAGAAAGCGTGAATAAACCGCACTAGAAATAGAAACTAAGGCGTTTTCGTTCGGCGGCTACCCATTATGACATCACATACGCCGAATAATTTGAATACTTGCGCCTCGCTTGCCTCATTCCTCCCTCCGCTATTTCCGCCCGTTTCCGCCCGTTTCCGTTTCGCCCAACCGATTCGCACCCGGTTCCGAGTTCGGCGGCACAATGTTTCTATTTGAGTGGGCGCACACGTCACTCCAAGGGAATGCGAGGGGTTTCTATTAAATTGCGAATGTACTCAAGTCTGAGCGGCCAGAGTGCCTTAAATTTGAAGGCTGACGCCATGGGGCTGGCGATCACGATTTCAGCAGCCCCTAGTTGCGCAGTTGCAGTTCCTATTAGTTTCTATTAGTTTCTATTAATACTCGTTGGTAAGTGTCCCCGTCTAATCGATTCGATTAGACATGTAATTAGTTCATGCTCCAGCTGCTTTGTTTATGTTTCGGCAATTACCTGCCTGGAATTTGGAATCTGCAATCTCCGATCCGATCGGCAGCTCATCCCGCTGATTGCAATCAGGCTATAAATTATAATTGGCGCCAGGCCAGAGCTTAGTTAGCATTCAGAGGGCCAGTCAGCATGTTTCCCAGTCGCCAAAACCAAAGTAATCCCACCCAGCCGCCCTAGTCAGGATCCACAATAACGCACTCCTTGTTCAATCCCCAGCCTCGTTGAAGAACTTCGGCGACAAGACCGCCAACCTCTTCAGCAAGAAGAAGGATGAGGCCGAGAAGCTGGCCAACGAGAAGGCCGCCGAGGCCCAGAAGCTAGCCGAGGAGCAGGCCAAGAAGGTGGGCCAGTCTGTCCAGCAGACCAAGGGCGAGGCCGAGCAGCTGGCCGCCAGCACGGGTGAGTAAATAAAGTGGAACGGGAATGCATAATCACAGATGGAGCACCTACAAGATGTTTTAAAATAGCATTTCGTTTTGGAGTTGTCTATAAATCTAGCAAAGAATTCAATGAGATAACTTCCCGAATCAGCTATCAGTTCTTTCTCATTAGCATTATCTAATACGCAAAACTTTTAGGCATTTGAAACACAAGAGAACATAATAGATGTGATTCTTTAGTGATTGGATTGACGTAATACATGTTTTCAAGAAAAAGTTTCGCCTCTTTGATAATAAAAAATGAAATATTTCTATAACTGTGAAAAGAGATTTGCTAGAGATTTATAACTAAAAGGAACAGCTCTACTTTGCAGCACATGCTTTATGCTGTATCCACATCTTTAGGACCACTCTTTCTAGGGTACTTCAAAGACTTTTCCAACTAATATCCCATTTCTATGTGATACAGCCAAGGAAGCAGCCGCTCTGGCCAACGCGGAGGCCCAGAAGGCGGGTCAGGCGATCGACCAGGGTGTGAACCGTGCCGCCGGAGCCGTCAACCAGGGCAAGCAGGCGGTGGACAACACGGTGGCGCAGGCGGCGGCCGTGGCCCAGAACTCCAAGCAGGTGGCGGCCAACGTGGCGGAGGCCTCCCAGCGAGCGGCCGCCAATGCGGTGGACCAGACCAAGAAGGCGGCCAACGATGCCATCAACAAGAGCGTGAAGGCCGCCGAGACCGTGGCGGACCAGAAGCTGAAGCAGGCGGAGGGCGCCATCGATGGGGCACTGAAGCAGACCAGCCAGGCGGTGGACCAGAAGCTGCAGGAGGCCAACCAGTACGTCGACCAGAAGCGCCAGTCCGTCGAGAAGACCGTCCAGGATGCGGCCGGACAGGCCCAGGAGTCCGCCGGACAGCAGGCCAACGCCCTGCTGGGCAAGCTTCATCTGGGCCAGAAGTAAAGGAGTCTCTATTCGCGGGGCCACCTAAAATATCTTGATGTGAAAATGCTTTAGATACAAAAAAAAAAAACAGAAGGGAATTGCTTCAATGTAACGAGTGCCAGTAATGTGATTGCTAAATCCTCAATTGAATATACATATATATACACATATATTTTTGAAATATCGCGCGGGAGGAATATTTTGCAGCCGCTGCTTTTGATGTGAGCATTTCAGCACATCTCTGTCCGTACAAAGTGTAATTAACCCCTTCGTTCTTCTTCGGCCGACTTTTGTTACTTTGAGGCATTTGATATTTTATATGCAGCTGCGCTGAGTATGCTTTTAATATACGTATGTTCTGTTTATGTAGAAATGTATGATTAAGTACCTTTAACTCTTGCACAATACATTGCAAATGTGTTTTTAATATATTGGACTCGAAAGAGATGTGTGGTCTTTGCATTTGGGGGATGCGCTGTAGCAAAGTGTTGCTTATTATTAATGTTTGGAGATACTGATGTAATGTTCATTGTATGAAATTTAAACATTCATTTTAAAATGAGCGCCGAAAGTAATGTACTGAAAACGGTAATCTGGCCACACTGGAGTCTCAAGCGGAAATAGCGCCATCTACATGTGAGATGAGCACACTAAATGGTTTGAAAACAGGGAATCCATGGGTTTTCTGCCCTTTTTCGTTTGAATTAAAAAGAAAATTTCATTATTCCAATAAAAAAACGAATAATAAATTCAATACTTGATATATTTATTAATATTTACATACTCACTTAACTTGGAAATGTTTTCCATGGACTCATTTTGAGGAACTGAATATAATACAGTCAAATACAATTTGTTCAATGAAACCTATAATTCGGCTATTTAAAATCTTACACTTAATATACACCCAATAATGGCAACATTTGTTTTGGTTCTACGACAAAGAGGCTGTTTTTCGACCCTAATTTCGCCCTTCCTCCAGGCCTTCCATACTTTGTCTCAATGCAGAACCCTTTCACGGATCCAAAGTGGGAGAGCGAAACTTTGGCAGAACTGTGGACTGGACGGATCTTTACAAATAGAGCGAAACATGCTGGAATCTGCTAATAGAAGAGCTTGCATTGTGTACTCCGATATGTCGGGGAACTTTTCGTCGAACAGAAGCCGAAAGTTGTTAGCTTTTAATTATGGGAAAAGTTTGTTGTGGCTAACAACTGACCCCGGTGCATTGCAACGTCAATTGGACGCACAACTTCAAAGGACCGAGGACCAAGGACGAAAGGACGAAAGGAATGTGTGCAAAGTATTGGCAGCAAAGTGCTGACATAAATTCAGGTAAGAGCGATTTTTAATTTCAGATAAGTGCGCCTGCTGACTGGAATGGCGAATGATAAATGCATTTCCATTTTCGCTCCAAGTGCGAGTGGGTGCGAGGCGCCAAATTCAAATTTATGCCGGCCACGGAAAAGTGGCGCCAAGCGAGTTGATTTAAAGTTAAGCGATACGAGCGGCGCGATTAATTGCAATAACTGTTTATCAACACGTATTAATCATGGCTTAACATGCTCCCAACTCGTGTTGACCCAAGCAAAGTGGCGTGCAGCGGAGTTCCGGTCATGTTGGCTGGCCAAAAGGAGGCTGCTTACCCCTTGGCAAGTTTACATTTAGTGGGCGGCATAAAAAGAAAAGATATTTGGCGAGCGTAACTTCGTTTTTAATTTATTATGACCTTATTTTTAGGTATGCTATGCGTTCTTGCAACACTCACGTTTCGCCCAGCAGCTTGATACCTTTTTGATTGACCCTTTGGTAATTCATGACTACTTAAGCCGATGCTTATCCGCTTTTTAAGTCCGTGACCAATTCCACTTATGAGCATATTTTACACGCAGCCACCACACCACCATCCAAAACGCTGGCCTACGGCGCTAATTTTATCTGAAAAGTTTAATGTGCGCGTGTGTGGGCAATTAGGCGCGGAGTATTATCGGCGGTGCAACTAAAACTGCGCGAGAGGAGGTTTCAGGCGACGGCCACTGATTGTTGCTGCCGGGGAAGTCCTTTTTCCTTCCACTCGCGTACTCACACTCACGCAGTCACACGCACACGCACCCACACTCACACTCCGACACATACACTCTCGCATTTATCGCTGTGGAGCCATTAGATCCACAGGGAACTCAATGGACGTTGACGGCCGTCTTGCCAGCTGCATGCTAAATAAACCTTCTCGAACAACAGCGAAGTTGCCTCAAGAGCCTTCTTCAGATGACTCGACTACAGGATACCCAGTCTCAATATCCGTTCCTAAGCAAACTTTCAGCTCTAGAGGACTCGTACCCTTCTTTACAACTTCTTATTTACCATTTCTTAAGCCTGACAAACTTAAGCCTATCTCTTCCTAAGCAAAACACATATCGTATACCTTACATTATTATATTTAATTGATAAATGGAGTGTTAACACTTGGCTTGAATTGTAGCAGCCGCAAGTGTTTGGGAACTCTTATTAATATTGGTTTAAACCCAGTACTGAAAACCCCTTTAATGCATTTTCCTCGTATTTCCCAGAATGCGGAGCATGCCCAAATGACGGGCTAAAAAAGCGCATCAACGGCGAGCGACAGTTACAGGCCGAGTGCGTTGTAATTGTCAGCTGAAAGGACATGCGAGGATGTGCGAGGGGACTTGGAACAATCCTGGCCGGAACAATTGGCTGGGAGCTCGATTTGAGCCAGTGGCGCGTGTCGCAGAAGACGCCAATAAAGCGTACGTCAGTCCGAGTGAGGGTGTCCGGAAAAAAGGAAAATGTAGCAAGTTGCAACAGACGTGCCATGAAATCCAAGGTGCAACGTCGAGGGAAACTGCGAGTCGATTGGCCTATGGAATCGAAGGCACAGCAAATTCGGGCATTTGATTTGCTTAAGCCGATTATTAATTACAGACCAGAATCAGGCAGGACGAAGGCCACAAATCTGTTCGATTGTAAAGACAAGTCCGGCTGCTGCATGAGGTGATATACTCCTGCCAAAGGCCTGATGTACGGCCATTGAGACAACTTTGATGGCCTGCCGGTGATTTATGCCGGAGCTCATTAATTATGCCTGCTAGCCCGATGTTGATTTAGTCACCTGGCCATTGGGCTTACACGTGTATGTAGCCAAAAATCAAAGAGATACCAGCAGGGTCACCTGTGCGCCTAACGAGGTTCATAATTAGCAGCCGTGAAGTGCGATTTGCCCATCGGTGCCCAGTTAGCCGGCTAACCTTCGGAGCGTGACACTCGACTGGCCGGGGATTTATGGTGGAAAATAATGGCCAAGAAGTACCCGCCGCCAGGTAAATTCCCCATCAGGTGGGCGAACTCGCAAAGTTACAAACCAAATCGAGCGTTGCAATTGCTGGCAATCGCCTCTTAACTCGTCTCAGCCAAATTCAATTATTTCCGTCGCCCACTTCCCCCGGCACTAGTAATGATATACATATAAACTGCTCCGGGAGTGGATCCACCATCAAAGGACCCAGCTGAAATTGCATTTAGGCAACCAGTGCCGCCAACTGTGCACGCATTTTATGCATTTTATTGAACCAAAGGGAAACACGAAGGTAGAGGTGAATGCTTGCAGCTCCGACAGCCAAGGTGTTCAGTGCTTTGCATCCGCAAATATAGGTATTAGATTAATGTTAGAGCTGCGCCAGAGATTTCCAGCGAAATGAAATGGAATAATTGAGAGGTTGGACTGCGGTTCGCAGCTCTATCGGCAGTTTGAAGCGTTTTTCTATTGCAAGTAATTGGAAAAGCAACCTCGCTGGCAGAGATGAAAATGTCCATCATTGACAATATATTTGTAGGAAAATGTCTTCCATTTTTGATCAGCATAAACCCCATGTTCTAAGTGTACTTGTAAAATAAAGAACCTCTGGCTGCAAACACATTGTGGGAATCATGAATTAAAAGTCTGCATTCTGGGGCTTTTGAAGTTTGTAAGCACACGTGCCGCCTGACAATCCCAATCCGTACTTCTGCTAGCCGTCCTTTGTCAACGACGTGTTTAGTTTTTTGTGCCCGGTTGCCATGATAGCCATGGACACCTTTTGCCAGACGAGAATGTACGGCGTGCAGCGGCTTAAGATGCCTGCGATTTGCCGGGGATAACAGAGCAGTTGCAAGGACTCGACCCGACCGACCACCCACCTGGATCACTTGAAAGGGACGTAATGCATAATTGAAATCTCCGATTGCAACGGCAGTTCCACCACGCAAAGCTGCCTGCTTTTCGGGGCCATTGAAAAACGGCCACAATGTTTTCCAAACGACATCCACTGGAGGGCAGGCCGCATGCGCCGATTCGAGTGGAACCCAAGTGGCGACCACTGTGTTCCTTCAAAAGCGAGGTGCTGGCCCAAGTGAAGCCTCAGTGCTACGTCGGCTGGCCAACCAGACGCTGGGCTCCCAAATTGGAAAGGGGCAGGAGTGAATAGCGATACATTCGATACGGATTCTGAACTGGCGTAACGGTCTTTTGAATAATTGAAGCAGTGCGTGCCAAACTCGATACAAATTGATTGCTCATACGCCGCGTGGCCCGGCACAAAGGAAAGCAAAATAGAAATTGTTGCATGCTCCCGGGCGCAATTGTTGATTGATATTTGTTGGTGCAGTGAGTGGGTGTGTGTGTGTGCGATTTGTGTGCGATTCAAATTCAAATGCTTTTTGATTAAAGCTCGCGCGTGAATAGTTTTCCATGCAATCGGAAAAATCTCTTGTGCCGCCCAAGTTCGCTAATTGCTCAATGGCGTTAGCATTGTTCTGGCTCTTCGATTTGCAGGGTAAGTTGTGGGCATACAGATTCTCCATGTTTATGGTGTTAACAACTAGGCGTTGAGTCCCAAAAGGCAGCAAAAATAACAGAGGGTCACGGACGACTGCGAACCATTTTCACACGGCCTAATGCTCCTAGCAGCTGACTTTTTAGGGACCATCTTTATTGCCAGGCAACTGGCAGGCTGCTTTCTCGTGCCTTTCTGCGAAATCACTTAGCAATTTGTGGCCCCATTCGAGAATCCTTTTCAGCGACGCATTCCTTTCTGCGGCTGTCATTGTGCAGTCTGTTTAATTTCACAATTCATTTCATGTCAATCGAATTGTCTACGGATGTCGGCCACATTCCCATCCCTCCTGCGAAGAGGACTCCTTCGACAAGTGTCGCCATCTCGGAACCGCAAAAAGGAGATAAGAAGGCGGCAAGTTGGCTGTCACGATGCTTGAGTTTGATGTATTAACGGATCCGGACTTCAGGCTTGGCTTGCTCGGCTTGCAGCTGGAAATGGACCATAAAATGCGAACGGCTCGCATTAAATTCGCCCGTTCTGCGTCTGGTTTAGCTGGCGATAAACCTAATAGTAAACATTCCCCTTTGTTGACTCTAT